TCTCTAGTTCTTGAATTCTTTGAGGGAGCCAGCGTTTGTCCACAGACAGTCTCCGTGGTCGTGTGGCTGGCATGACTAAACACCGAAGTGCACGGAATGCTGATACCTGCCCACCGAAATGGTACCCTTTTATCTACCTGCATTTGCATGCTTTCGAACTGCAAGGTTGGCAGGAGCTGGGACGGAGCAACGAGAACTCACCCCGTGTGTGGATCCGAACTGGCGACCTTTCGATCAACCAGCCCAGCAGCACAGCAGTTTAAACCACTGCGCCACCTGCAGTCCCTTGGGTATATTAGACTCCTATAAATATTAGATTGATTAGATCCATTTTAATCTATTGTTAGCTATTGTCAGTGCAAAATTAATATAAGTTAGCTTATTAGGAGAAGGGTCTTCCAGTTTTTCCCGTTTTTCCAAAGTCTCTGGCAGATGCCAGTAGATCCATCAGTTGGTCAAACAAATAATCTTCTGTGAGCCGTCCTAAGGCTGTATAGCAAAGGGACAGCATACAAAAACTTTAAATAAATAAAATAAATAAAAATAAAAATAATCTCTTCTTTCTGTCAAAGAAATCCTTGCCTAGATTGATTTCTTTTGTCCAGCAGATGGCGCCAATTTTGCAATTACCAATTTAAAGAAATCTATGTACGTCACTTTCATTTTCAAAGAAGCAAAAAATTGGGAAAACTATAGTTCTCTACTTTCCCTTTATCTGGGAATGGAGGCATCCACAAGTCCACCCTGAAAATCTATTCTACAGGATAATTCCTCCCAATTCTTAAAAATGGTGGCTTCTTTGCCTTATTCTCAGAAGAGCTTAACAGCGAAGAAGGGAGAAGTGGCAGCTAATTCTTCTTCTCCCCGCAAGCCATCGCCAAGCCACGCAGACCGCTGAAGCGGACAGTCGTCCACACCCGATCAGCCATTCGTAGCCTATTGGTGCAAGGAACAGATTACGTTATGGCTTCGTTGCTGTGTAGTCCCATTAGAAGTTAAATAAAAGCAGCTGTTCATTCATAAGCTCCATTTGGACAAGCAAAAGATTGTTTTTCAATGTCCTTGTTGTCAAAGATTACAAGTTACAGTCACTTGACTTGGGGGAGAGAGATAAGAGGAGAAACTTGGGAAGGGGAAAAAAGAATTTTTAAAAAGTATTGCGGGGGGATGTGATTTTAAACCAATTCCTTGTTTATCTTATCTTGTCATTTTAATAGTATCAGAATAAATCAGGCATTTGAGCATTCCTGATAAGGCTGATTGATTACCTGTCCCCAGATCTTCATCACGAAGGTGAAGAGAAGGCCTAGCCTTCGCTTGGCAGTGGGCAGATGCCAGCTGGCAAGACAAGGGCAGGGGCACTCAGAGAGTGCATCTTCCTGAGAGTCCGCCTGGGCCCCATTTCTTGATCGCCTGTTGTGGAACAGCTTTTAGAAAGTGCAGGCGTTTGTCACTTAGGTGGCCACTGAGACAGGACGCCCGACGAGGGGGATCCTGGCATGCGGTTCCCCTAGTGGTTCAGGTTCAGGTGCAGAAGGATGAATGTCCAGACCAAACAGTGGAGCTTTGGCCTGCATTGCAGCCGAGACCGACCTGAGAGGCTGCCTCACAGGCAAAGAATTGGGACGGGACGGCCCAGCGTGTGCCTCAGCAGGCATGGGGTTTACATAGAGAGGTGGTGCCCCTTCCGCCGGGGCAGCAGCCCCGCCACGTCCCCTGCAAGCCGGAGCTGAGGGCTGCCTGCATGGAGCGGCCTCGCCCCTGCCATGTGCTCTGTCCAGGGTCCTGAAGTCCCCGGCTTTGCCGCTGGCTACCCTTGATGAGAAGAAAGGCCACTAAAACCTGTAAGTGCCAAAGGTGGTTTTCCAAGGAGCAACCGGTGCAGCATTTGGCACGTCTGGTCAGATCTGTTTGGACACGACACTGAATGCAGGCACTTGAAATGCCTTTGGGGCACACCTCAGATTTCATGTGGGAATGGAAGAGATGGCTCTGCAGAGTCACGGTTTCATGACAGATGGAGCTGGGCAAAGATTTGTGCGGAGTGAGTACCTCCTTGCCCCCTGAAGGGCCTTCCTGGATCACGGGAAGGCACCGCCTGTTCCACAGTGGCCAGCCGGATGCCTTTTGGAACCCGCACACAGGGTGCCTTAGCGAGGTTCCTCAGCTGTCACTCACAGGCCGTCCCCCTGCTCTCTGCCTCTGGCAGGTGGTTGCTTGAAGAAGCGTTTCCCCGTTGAGCTGGCATGGCTGCAAATCATGGAATGCCTGAGCGTGCCTTTGTCTTTCCTTTGACGAAAGCTATTAGCGTGCACCGCCAATTCTGTAGGTCAACTGTGTGCTGTTCAAAGAGGGACTTCTTTTCCCTGTCCTGAACTGAGGGTTGTGCAGTGTGATTGGAGGACCACAAGCCTGGCCCTGTGAGCAGGGAGGTGGTCCAAGGGTCCCTGCACACTGGCGGCATAGGCCATGGTGCCGTCCAGTGCCCTTTGCGCTACGTGGCCGGCCTGTCCCAGCCTCAGACCTTCCAGATGTGTTGGCTAGAACTCCCAGCCTCTCTGGCCAGGGATGCTGGGGCGTAGTCCAGCACACCTGAGGGCCCCAGGTTGGGGAAGGCTGATTGCACATGCTCAGACAGGGCTGTCACGGACTCGTAAACGCACGCAGGCTGTTGTACCGAAGGGGTAGCAAATGCTGCTTCCTGCCCCCAGGCCAGCCAGGTCATTCCCCAGGGCAGTGTTTGCCACAAGAAGGCAGCCTTGCTGGCGCCACACGCTGGATGTAGGGCAGGCTTAGGGGCTCCCGTGGTTGCTTGGCTGGGCAGCTGGGTGAGGTCTCTCGAGAGCGGCAGCACAGGCGCTGTGATGCAGGTGCCTGCGGCCGTGCAGTGTGTCTCCTGCTGCAGCTGGTATGAGAACTTGATTTTCTTGGTTTATTTCATTTCCTTACGACCCCATAGCTGAACTTGCAATACTTAGAGATGGAGGGGGCAATTGTGAAAGGTACAGAGCTCCACTTGGCGCCGTTCTGTGCATGCAAAAGTCTAAAACGAGTCCGCACACTTGCAAGACTCCCTGTGTTGTAAGCTGCCCAGAGGGCCTATAAGTGATGAGGCGACACAGAAATTGAATGAATGAATGAATGAATGAATGAATGAATGAATGAAGTGCCCAGAGCTTTGCAGAAGGAAGCCCTGGGATTTCCTGGCAGGCCGGAGTTTCCTTCTGAGATGGAGAGTGCATGTGGGTAGGGAGTCAGAGCCAGGGATGCTCCTGGGATGAGCTCACCACCGCTTCCCAACGGTGAAGCCTGAGCTGGGATGGAGAGACGCCACTTCTGTCGAACTGGTGGGCAGGCCAGAGCAGGAACTGAGTGGGGGCAGAGCCCAGCACAAATGGCCCCTTTCTCTCTCTCTCTCTGGCACCCCTTCCCCCTGTCTGTGTCCCTGTCCCTCCTCACCCGGTGGGCTGACGGAGGAAAGGGGGTCGGTGCTTGCCCACCCTCTGAGCTGGTTGCTTGCAGAGGTCTTCTGAAAGAGGTCGGGGGCTGCCAGTGCCCCCCCCCCCCAGACAGATTTGTGTGGAATCACAGAATCAGAGAGGAGCTGGTCCAGGCACCTGCAGCCGCCATGAAGGGCAGCCGCCCACCCATCCAAGCCCAGCCGCGTGCCCCACCCTCTCCGCCTCTCTCCCCATCTAGTCCACATCTACTTCTGTGCCGCTTCTGCCCACTGGCTTGTGTCTGCCCTCAGGAAGGACAGTGAGCACACCAATGTCCCCTTCCATAGGCAGCCTCATGGGTATTTGAGATCTGTTACAGCATCTCCCCCGGATCTTCTCCAGGCTAGACATATCCAGCTCTTTCATCCATTCCTCAAAAGACGATTTCCAGAGCTCTCCGCATCTTGCTTGCCTTTTCCTGGCATTCCCACATTCTTTGGGACCAGGGAAAAGCAGGCCGCTTGGGTGGGCCCAGTAGATGAGGCCATGGGGGTGACTCTGGGGAGCCTTGGCCACGGATGTGCCCAGGCCGGCTCTCTGCTCTCCCCAGGGAGGCCCGCTCGCTCCCCACGCCGGAGGGCCCACCGCACAGGCAGGCGTGTGTGCCCCCGAGGCCCATCTGCCTGTGTGGAGAGCTGTTTCCGGCGGGTTTTGCGGGGCAGGGGGAGCATGGCAGCCGAGCACAGCAGTTGCTGGGGGGGGTTGCAAGCCTGCTTTACCCCCGCCTGTGTCCACATGTTCATTCAGCGCAGGGAAGTGGGTGTTTACCCACCGCTCACAAGGAGATACAGGGAGGAACAGCCTGAAACTGCATAAGAACATATCTATAATGCTTGGCACACATATTCTTCATCCAATGTTTCCCTCCCTTATTTTATTTTTTTACATAAGAAAAAGGGCTTTAATTCAGTGATGGGAAATGTGTAGCCCTCCAGTTGTTGTTGGACTTCAAATCCCATCATCCTCATCCACCATGTTGGAGGATGATAGGAGTTATAGTCCAACAACCTCTGAATGGCCGCATCTTTGGCATCCCTCCTTGTGTCTGTTGGGGGCGGGGGGGTCTCTGATTCAGTTTTAAGAGATTGCACAAGCCAGCCCTAAAATCTCTGCACATTCCACAAGGAATTCATTTCTGAGCCTTTTGTAATGAGCAACTCTTACTATAATTGACTTTTTAAAGTGGGAATGTTAAAAACATTGAAACACCGTAGTGCACTTTTCAGTGCCCTGCGAGCAGATTTGGACAACATCAGCTTGTTGCTGAATGCCTCCTGCATGGGGTTCGGTGCGCAAGGGAGATGCTGGAGGTGCCTGGGAAGCCCTGGCCTCCTTCTGGTTCCTCTCTGTCTTAGCAGTCCGGGCCTTGACTTGGAGGCCTTCATTCCAGGAGGGGTTTGGGGTTAAAGCAAACATACATAAAGTCCTGCTGAGAGCAGGAGCGGTGACAGGCCGCCTCTTCTCGCTACTGGATGCCTGCTTGTTTTTGTCAAAATTTAGGGGAGCCACAACGAAGATCTCTCTGAGAACGAGGAGGAGCTGGGAGAAAAATCAGAGAGCGAGGGCAGTGACTATTCCCCGAACAAGAAGAAGAAGAAGAAACTGAAAGAGAAGAAGGAGAAAAAGGCCAAACGGAAAAAGAAGGATGAGGAAGCGGTGGAGAATGATGATGGAGGCTTGAAGGTACGGCGGCTCCAGGTCTGGGCTGCTGCAGCCAACAGCATCCTGTTGTGTGTGTGTGTGGGGGGTGTGCTCCATGCTGTGGCCCAAGGGCATTTTCTGGGTGTGTGAGAGCCCTGAGAATAGCCTCACTTGCTGGGAGATGAGGCGGGGAGAGGTGAAGACCCTTGCCTGACCATTCTCTCTCGGGTGCCTGAGGAAAATATGGATTCAGCTCAGTGCTTCTGGAAAAACAGCTTCCTTCCCCAGGGGCTGCAATTAAAACTTTGCCATACTGTATGTTTAACATATGGAAATACTGCTAAGAAACCAAATGTACAGGAAAGGTCACCTCTGTGAATGTCGTGCACTGAATGTACACCCATTAAAACAATCCCGTGTCCCTTCAGTGCGGCTCTTTCCTCCCACAGGAGCCCAAGAGCTCAGCACAGCTGATGGAGGAGTGGGGCCTGGATGACGTGGACTACGCTTTCTCGGAGGAGGACTACCACATGCTGACCAACTACAAGGCTTTCAGCCAGTTTCTCAGGTACGCGATGGAGGCCCTCTGTTCACCCTGGTTCTCTGGATTCTGCAAAGACCTTCCTCCCCTTGCAGGAGCCTGTTGGAGCAGGAGGGCTGACTCCTTCCGAGAGGTGTGCTGACTCGGACTCTGATCCAGAAGTGAAGCAGTACAGCTCCCTCCCACAGTGGGGCCAGGGGAGGAGGGCCACAGGGGGGCCACGGCCTTCATTCAGGAGTTGCGCTGGCAGTGAAGAGCGGAAGAGCTGCCCACAGGCCTCTGCTGGTGGCCAGGGGACTGGAAGGACAGCTCAGCACAGGGAAGGCGGTGGCCCCAGAGGGTCGCTCCAGGCTCCCACTGGAGCAGTCGAGGAGCCGTCCGTGGTGCCGAGCCAACGCCGAGAATGAGAGAGAAGAGCGTCCCGCGTGTGGCACAAGGGTGGTCCTGCTCCCGGGGCCAATCTGGGCAGCTGCTGTGGGAAAGGGGCGCTGGACTCAGCGGGTCAGGGTCCGATCTTGCCCCCAGCTTTGGAGAGCTCCCCCGCCCCCAGCCCAGGCTGTGTCCCGGTCCCTGAGGAGCAGTAGCTTCCGTTGGTCTCGGCTCGGTGACGCTATGACTGACCCACTCTGCTCTGCTTCTTCCCCAGGCCGCTGGTCGCCAAGAGGAACCCCAAAATCCCCATGTCCAAGATGATGACTGTCCTCGGGGCCAAGTGGCGAGAGTTCAGCGGCAACAACCCATTCAAAGGCAGCTCGGCAGCCGCCGCCGCCGCCGCTGTGGCTGCAGCCGTGGAAACTGTGTCCGTGGTCCCGGTGCCGCACCCGGGCAGCCCTGCGCAAGAGCCGCCACCGGCACCGGTCGTCAGAAAGGCCAAGATGAAAGAGGGGAAAGGTGCCTCAGCCGGGGCGGGGCACCGGGGGAAGCCACCGCGGGTGTGTTGCACAGGGATTCTGCCCCCCCCCACATGTTGAGGGGCACAGCCCTTCACAAGAGAAACATCAGGCCTTCACAGCTCATCAGCAAGATACTCTTCTGAAGCAGCCTCTGGGCAGCACGGAAGGGGAAACGGGAGGAATGAACCCGGCCCTTCCCAGTCCGCCGGTTCCCCCAGGCACTGCCCCGTTCCGGCTCCACCAGAGTCAGCCAGGTAACTGGGCAGGTCTTGCCCGGCTCCTAAGGAACATCATGAAGCCGGTAGGGAGGGAACTGCACAGGCAGGATGGGGAAGGGTGCCTGTTTGCAGAGCATTGTCATGGGCAGCCGTAAAACTGGAGAGAATGGCTCTGTCGGAGAAGCAAAGAGGGCCGCGTGGGGGTCACTGCTGGGAGCTGCCGAAATGGGGCTGGTCATGGCATTGGAGCCCCACCGGACTCACGAATGGCAGCTTGCCAACCCTGAGCAGCCACAGAGGGAGCCTGCGGTTTGTTGTGAGGCTGTGGTTGCAGGTTGTTCCGCTGCAGCTAGGTCTTGAGCCAGGAGCCAGCATGGCTGCCGGTCTCCAGGGTGGACTCGTCAGTGGGGCTTTCCAGAACCAGAAATGGGGCCATGCTGCAACGGCAGCTGGAAGTGTGGGACCGCCAGGCAGCCGGGCCCCCTGGCGTCAGGCAGGGACTTGGACGGGGCCATCCCTGGAAGTGGCTGGGCTCCAGGAAAGAGGGGGCCGCCTCCATCACCCGATGCCTCTCCTTGCCGATCCCGCAGGTCCTGGCGCACGGAAGAAAATCAAGAACGCCAAAGAGAGCAAGAAAAAGGGGAAAGGGAAGAAGGCCACGGCCCTGAAATTCCGCTTCGGGGGGATCGCCAGCAAGAGGAAAAAGGGCTCCTCCGTAAGTAGACCCCATCCGCACGGTCGCGCACGCCACGCATGACGTGTGTTGGGGCAGCCCTCCCCTGCTGCCCCAGAACAGGGGGGCCGGGCCACCAGTGCTGGGGGGGCCCTTCGTCCATGGCTCCTTTTCTTCAGAGCCTTATAGGAGTGACGCCTGGGACTGAATCCCATACCCATGATGGGCTTGCCATCAGGGGAGCTCCTGCAATGCTCCGAAGAACTGCTGCATTGGATAAGGAGCCCTGCTCACTTGGGAGACATCTGCCCTCCCACTCCTAAAAACATTTGGAATTAACGTGAGGGTTTTTGCAGTTTAAAAGTGGGGCATTCTCTCTCTCTCTCTCTCTCTCTCTCTCCCCTCTACCCCATGCCACCCAGAAATATTCTTCTTTTTTATTAGCCTTTCTGTCGTCCCTAGTGGACATTGTCGGACACTGTGCAGGCGATTCTCCATCTCTCACAAAAGCTGAAAGGGGTTGGCTCATGAGGCAGCCTGGCAGGACCGATGCTCAGGGCAGCTGAAAGGAGCCTCTGTGTCCAGGAGCAGGCTACCTGGGAGTTCCAGTTCAGGGGAGGGAAGGGGGGCACATCTGATTCTTGGGGTTTCCCCAGGCAGCCACACACCCCTTTCTTGCCAGCAACCATTCTGTGCTTTCCAGCTTTTCCCTGCTGTGCTAAAAGAAATAGTTCATGTCCGTAAGAACTTTGAACGGTCATCATCCACAGCCAGCCAGGGATTGTGGGGATCTTAGGCCAACGTATGTGAGAGATACCAGATCCAGGAAGGCTGCCTTGCTCACTCCTGCCTTTGAGGTGGGGTGACTGCATGAGCCTGGGACCCCTTCTGAAGGGAGAGGCAAGCAGGGCTTGGGGTGATCCCACAAGGCAGCAATGGAAACCGCCTGCGGTTTGGCTTTGGTTGCAGAGTGAGGACGATGATCGGGGTGACTCTGACCCGGACAGCGCCAGCATCAACAGCTGCTCCATGCGCTCCGATGCCTCTCCCGCTGCGGGCAGGCGGGGAAAGAAGAGGAAGAAGAAGAGGCCAGGTATGCTGGCATCTGGGGGCGGGAGCCTGCCGCAGAGCGAGGATCAGCCTTGCCTGGGCAGCCCTTCGTGCCCTTGCGGTGCTGCAGCAGCGCTGGGAGAGCCAGGCAGTGTCGTGGTTCAGGGCGTGGGCCCAGGACTCGGACCCCGCTCAGCCGTGGAGCCACCTGGGTGACTCTGGGCTGGCCACAGGCTGTCATCCTCGCCTGCCCACAGGACTCCTGTTGCCAGGAGGACATGGAGAGGAGGCACAACTTGTAAGCTGCCTCGGGCTCCTTTCAAACATGGCGGTGCTGGTGGAGACGCAGGCAGGCGGTGTTTAAAACTGAAGGTGAAATGGAAGAGGCCACGGCTCAGCGATGGAGGCCCTGTGTGATTCCTGGCATCTCCGGGCAGGGCCTGGAAGGAACCTGCCGGACACCCTGGGAAGCTGGGTGTGCTGAGAGCGGTGGGACCTCACCCTGCCTTGGCAAGCAGAGGGCCCCTCCGCAAGACCCTGCTGCACACACGCACCGTCGCGCGCACACTGCCACGGCTGCTGCAGAGAGGCTCGGGCAGCCAGGATGTGTGTGTGGGGGGGGGCATTTTACAAGTTCTCCTGGGCTGATCAGAAATCCCGTTGGGGCCTTGTGAGTCCTGAGGCAGCCCCTTAGCTCTGGGGGAGGCCCTGGGCCATGGTGAGCGCTGGGAAGACCTTGGGCAGCCGCTGGAGATCGCTGCCCACATGGGCTTCTGCTCCCCCTGGGCAGTGAGGTTCTTCTTGTGTCTCAAAGGCTCCACTGGACCGGTGGCCAGCTCCCAGCATGTCTGGCCGGGGCAGCCTGCTCCGCTCACGACATGCCCACCATGTGCACGTCCAGCCTGTCCTTGGACAACCTCACCGATGGGGCCTCAGCCACCTCCCACGGAAGCCCGTTCCACGCCCTCGGTGCCCTAACCGTCAGGAAGGGCTTCCCGGCGTCCCCGCCAGGTCTTGCTTCCCCAGTGCTGCATCCCCAGCACGCTGGCCGGGCACCTGCCCCCAGCCTGCTGAGAATGACGTTTCCACTGCCTCACTCTTGTTTCCCAGCTGCAGAAGGCGATGGCTACGAGACGGACCACCAGGACTACTGCGAAGTGTGCCAGCAGGGCGGGGAGATCATTCTCTGTGACACGTGTCCCCGCGCCTACCATCTCGTGTGCCTGGACCCGGAGCTTGAGAAGGCGCCCGAGGGCAGGTGGAGCTGCCCGCACTGTGTGAGGAGCCTTGGGGCTGAGGGCTGCCGGGGTGGCGCGGGGCACGACCCGGCAGGAGGGTGCACCGCCGGGAGCCTGAGTCAGGTGTGGCCCCTGGGCCGGCCGCAGAGCCGGGCAAGACTGCAGCGAACCGGACCCTTCCCCCCACGGGGAGGCCACAGCGGAACAGCCACTGCCGCCCACACCACCCTGCGAGGCACAGCGGGCTTGCCCTGCCTGGCAGCCCTGCCCTGACGGTGCCCGGGCAAAGCACGCCCCCGCACGGGAGAAGAGGCGCTCCAGGTTACCGCCCAGGGACAGGGTGGGCCCAGGTTGGTGCATGGCGGGGGGCAACTTTCAAAGTGTGTGCGGACGACCGGCATGCCCAGGATCCGAGGGGCCCTACACGTGGGCACTGCACCTCTTGCAGACCACGAGCTGCATGTGCTTTTGGGGACTGGGTTGCATGAGCTCTTGCTGAGAGCTCTGACTCTGAGAGCTCTCGCTGCTCATATGTAATTCCACCTTTGAGGAAACATCTCAGCTTTCAGAAAGGCCTCCAGCAAAAGCTGGAAATCACCGAACAAGTGCGAGTCGGGCAACGTGACCCGTGAGACTCAGCACCTCTGTTCTGGGGCTCATTACATTTCCAGTGGCATCGAGCCAATTCTGTTGGGACGCTGAGACCTTGGAACGCATCCTCCTTACTGTCCTCCTCCGTCCCCAGAAGAGGCAGAGCGGAGAGCGGAGAGGCAGTGGGGAATCGGTTTTTAACAATGGGATTTATCCTTCCATATCCAGTGAACACACATTTTCTAGAGCAGGGGTCCTCATACTTTTTCTAGTGGGGGCCAGCTGACAGGTGCCAGCAGTGGGCACAGGCTGCCAAGGTGGTGCCGGCGGGGGGGGGGGGGGGGCTGCACCCCCATGGGGGGGGGGGGGGGGGGCCCACGGGGAAAGGTGCCGGCTTGCCCACGAGATCATTTTCTCCAATTGAGTCCAAAACGATCTCCCCACAAGCAAGCTGCTGCTGGGCGCGCACGGCAAGGTGCCGGCTTGCTCATGAGGAGATTGTTTTCTCTGAGCTAGTCCAGAATGACCTCCTCATGAGTAAGCTGTCTGCCTGCGCCCAACAAGTGCAAAACCTGTGGGGTGGGCTGGTTAAATGGTCATGGCGGGCCGGATCCGTCCTGCGGGCCGTAGTTTGAGGACCCACGTTCTAGAGATTTGCTGTGACTGAGCAGTATAGAACTAATTAAATCAATCTGGAAGGGCCGTGCTGAGAGGGAGCTGTCCTGGTGGCCAGTGTCAAGCATGAAATGTTAACATCCAGCATGTCTGGAAATCAGAGACAGATGTCAAGTACTGGACAAAGAGTTGAAGAACGTTGGGACCAAAATCCCAGGAGGGCCTAAGCCGGGCCAGGCCTAGCCCAGGGAGGACATGCAGCTCTGCCTTCCTGGGGTGCCAAGGGGAGCTGGGGTGGTTGGAGCAGCACATTCTAATTTTTCTCCGTTTTATCACTTTCCCATCTTAAGTCCGGCTCATCCCAGTCTTGGATTTTTTTTGTTAAGATGTTTGCATTAAAACACATCCCTCTACATACACTTCTCCCAATGCAGCCACCTCTTTAATTTTTCTTAATAAACATCTTTTGCAAGTGATATAATGCTCTTTTTTGTTTGCATTTTCAGTAACAGGGACCCTTTAAAATTAGAACACTCCTTTGTGAAAGTTAGAGACACGTGCCATTTGAAAAATAGTTGTGCTTCTCTTCATCCTCTGGTTTGGAAGTGTGAAATGAGGCATGTTGGCAAACAAGTGGAAACTGAATGTATTTCTTCCCCCTTCCTTAGGAGAAGGAGGGCATCCAGTGGGAGCCGAAGGACGAGGAGGACGAGGATGAAGAGATGGGAGAGGAGGAGGACGACCACATGGAGTTCTGCCGCACCTGCAAGGATGGCGGGGAGCTCCTTTGCTGTGACACCTGTCCGTCGTCCTACCACCTGCACTGCCTGAACCCGCCACTGCCGGAAATCCCGAATGGGGAATGGCTGTGCCCCCGCTGCACAGTGAGTGTTGAGCGCCTTCCTCGTGCCTCCGGCTCCGCCCTGGCGAGGCCCTGGCATTGCCCGGCTCGGGGTGGGCCGGGGCCGGCCAGGCATGCCCCTCTGAAGCCTCGTGCCTGCCAGGGCTGCACGCAGACCCCCTGCTTGGCCTGCAAGCTCGCTCTACCAACTCCACCTGGTGGATTGCAGCTCAGAATTTTGGGGCCTGAAGGCAAATTTCAGGAATCTTGCATGTCAGGAAGGGCTTTCCTAGAATCATAGAAACAAAGAAACAGAGTGAGTCAGAAGGGGTCTCCCGGGCCATCTAGTCTGACCCCTGGCTCCAGCCAGCCCCACTCATGACACAAGGTTGACCGTGTGCATGTCCAGCCTATCCTTAAACCCTCATAGAATAATGGAATAGAGAGTTGGAAGGGGCCAAGAAGGTTGTCAGATCCATCCACCCTGCTGTTGCAGGACACCATGTTACACCATCCCACTCAGATGACTGCCCAGTTTCGCCTTGAATGCCTCTCGTGAGGGAGAGCCCCCACCTCTCCAGGCAGCCGGTCCCACTGTTGTACTGCTTTGACAGTGAGGAATCTGGGTTGTTGCAGCTTGACTTGATTATTCCATGTCCTACACTCTGGTATCAGCAAAAGGAGATCTTTGTGACAGCCTTTGAGGTACTTATAGAGGGATGCCATGACCCCCTCAATCTTCTCTTCTCTACACTGAATATGCCCAGTTCTCCCAGTTTCTCCTCACAGGGCAATGTTTTCAAACCCTGGATCATTTTCTGGACTCTTTCTTATTTTTCTGCATTCTTCTTAAATCTTGGTGCCAACGCAACAGGGAATCTCCCTCAATTATCCTCCTTTCATTGTTGCAATCTTTGCTACCTTTCTCCTTACTTGATAGCCTTTTGTCTCTTTTTCAGAGCTACTCAGTGTGTAGTGCAGTTCTTTCTCAATGGGTCTCTCACTCACCTCTTCCTCGAGCAACTTCAAGTGGTCCCAGAGTTCCATTGCTTCCCCTGGTGCAGAGCGTCTTCTCGTTCTTCTGCATCTGTCACCCTTTTCCAGGGAGTTTCCTCCTCATTTTCCCTTCCCTCAGAATTTTCTTCTGCCTCAGCTTGCTGCTGCACTGCTTGCTTCGGGACTCCCCTTTGCTGTTGTAGCTCTGCCGCTCTGCCTAAAACCTCTTCATCTTCTTTTACTGCATGGAGGGTGGGCATCCACTGCTCTGCTGCTTCCATCTTTTCTTTGGGCAGGGCTACCAGCTTGCACTCATGGCCCGAGTGGGCCATGCTGCCCTCAGGCAGGGAAACACGCATTGTGCAGACGTTGCTAGTTGCCTCCACTGCAGAGTCTTCTCGGCCCGTTCCTTGTGCTGCCTTTGTGATTCTGTCTTGGGAGGCTGTTAAAGCTGCTGGTGCTTTCTCCTGTCTCCACGGAAGGTTGACAACAGAGTTCCACCAGTAAATGGGAGTGTGTTACAAGGAGGGAAGTAAGTGGTGGGGGGGAGGAGAATTAAGATCAAAAGAAGAATAAAGAAGGGGGGAAAGTTAGGGACATCTCCCTTGACCTCCCCCACTGAACTCTGCCATCAAACTCCTGTTGGCTCTCCCTGTTTGCTCGCTCCCTGGGGGCTTGGCTGCTTGTATCCCAGGGCCTCTGGACCAGCTGGGGCAGCTTCCTCCAATCTGATTGGCTGGGAGTCAGGAGCAGAATATCTGTTTTTGAGTAAGAACCATGCCAAACACATTCCTCTCCCTCAAAGGGGGAATAGATTTGTTTTTAATGGATGTAATTGTTTAAAAGGAAAACAGTAATTAGTGGGACTTGTCCTCAGTCATCCTTAGAATACATCTATTGACATAGAGACACAGAAACAGAGTGAGTCAGAAGGGGTCTCCCGGGCCATCTAGTCTGACCCGTGGCTCCAGCTGGCTCTGCTCATGACATGCCCACCATGTGCATGTCTGGCCTATCCTTGAATGCCCGCACCAATGGGGCCTCAACCAAATCAACAGGGCAAGTTAGTAATGATTAATTTAAGTCCTGTTGGTCTACTCTAGGCATGACTAAATTTGGATCCAAATGTGAATTAAAAACAAAACAAAACACTGGACTGGTGTTATGTGTGTGTCCCAATTTTCTGCAAGATAGGAAACTGCAATGTTTTGCCTTTTATTACTGTTCAAATGGCACAAGTGCAAAATCTGTTACGAGAATTCTTGTTGGAATTCAAATGGGGCCCAGCCCAAGAGATACTAGACAATTTTGGGTGGTGCTACAGAATCTGGATTCCTTCGATCCCTGGGTCCAGGTTTCAGAAGGACTCACTCCCAGCATCACTACAAGCCTGCACAATGACAGCATCATGGCTTTTCCTGCAACCTTTGAACAGTAATATTGGGGATCTAGGGGCAGAAATGGCATCATCCTATTCACAGACTTCTTTAACATCCACCCCCTTGGGAGATGAGCCCTAGACGCATAAGAGGGAGCTCAAGCTTGCATTGGAAGTAGCGTCATTGCCTCCTTCTTCCTTTCAGAGTCTCAGTTTTCCATCACCAAGCACTTTATGTCCTGGTTATGCCTAGCCTTCCCCACCCCACCCAGGAATGCATACATGTTTTTGTACATGGGTTTAAATGACACTCAAAGTGCGCATTCCCCCACAGTCAAAAGTGCCTTCGTACACCTTCTAGAATGCTGCATCCTGTGCTGGAGAGCTTTGTTCACTGCCTTTTTCCTTGCCCACCGCAGGGTGGAGTGGAGTGGAGTGGCAGGGCTGTGCTTGGTGGAATGTGCTGCGAACTCAGGCGTGCATTGCTTTCGGACGACAAATTGCATCTGGGCCCTTGAGGTTCCCTTTGGGTGACCTTGTGCTAAGATCTTCCCCAGCTGATTCCTCGCCTGCCCTGGTAGAGAGAAGGTGGAGTAGCAGCCCACCGGGAGAGCTGCAAGCTGCCTGGGTCCTCGTGGGCAGGTCACAAGTAGAGGCTGCCTCCAGCCAAACCCTGCAGCAGTCCATCCACGGGCAAGGCAGGTTTCTCTGGAGAGCCCACACCACCTTGCGGAGGTCCCTTTCTCTGGCTTTGCAGGCCTTCTCCTTCCACTTTCTCTGGCTTTGCAGGGCTTCTCCTTCCACTTTCTCTGGCTTTGCAGGGCTTCTCCTTCCACTGTGAGGCTAGGAGACGGCATCTTCGGCCCAGTGCTGAGTCTCTTGCACCTGCCCAGTTGCCGCTTCCCCTTTCGTTGTATTCGGATCTGAGTTGGATGGAATATTGCCCTTCATCCCACCCCTGCACAGCATCAGCAGCATCAACAGCAGCAGCAGCTTTTTCGAAATTAGCAGCAAAATGATGTCTGTGGCACTAAGGAGCACTAGAAAGGTCAACGTGAGCTTCCTTGTGAACAGCCTCTGACCCTTGTTGGGGTCCATAGCTGCTGCCAATCCCTCAGCAGGTTCAAACTGCTGTACCCGATTTGCACCCTGAAGTGCTACGGAGGCTATCAGTCTGCCCTTAAAATTTAAAGCATAAATTCACTTTTGGGTGGTCCAACCGAATGCAGCTGGCGGAGGGTGGAGGTCCCGAGGGCAGCATGGTCCGTGCCGGTCTCCCTCACTGCCTCTGGAGGACACAGGCCTGCTCCCGGGGCTGCGTGCGATGCAGGCGAGTGCAAGATGCGACGCTGCCCCGAGAGAGGCCAAACGCCGCAGGTGCTGGGCACGGGTGCCTGCGGGGGCTGTGAGTGTGTCTCCCTCTTCTGTCCCCAGTGCCCACCGCTGCAAGGCAAAGTGCAGCGGATCCTCCACTGGGTCTGGACGGAGCCCCCGGCCCCTCTCACGGCTGCCGTGCCCCCCGTGGGTCCCGAGCTGGCGGCCCCGGCAGCCAAGCCCCTGGAAGGGGTCCCTGAGCGGAGGTTCTTTGTCAAGTGGGCGGGCCTCTCGTACTGGCACTGCTCCTGGGTCAAAGAGCTGCAGGTGAGTGGCCGGCCGGCCGACCGGCCTGGCTGGGGAGGGGAGGGGAGCGGGTGGGCCTGGGCAAGAGCTCCGCTCAAGGCACCCTCCGGCGTGGCCCCCTCCAGCTCGAGCTCTACCACACGGTGATGTACCGCAACTACCAGCGGAAGAACGACATGGATGATCCCCCGGCCTTTGACTACGGTTCCGGTGAGGAGGATGGCAAGAGTGAGAAGAGGAAGAACAAGGACCCCCACTATGCCCGGATGGAGGAGAAGTACTATCGGTATGGAATCAAGCCCGAGTGGATGATGGTGCAGCGGATACTCAACCATAGGTGAGGGCAGCTCTGCACTGCGCCTGCTCATGGGATCCCCGGCCCCCAGCAGGGTGTGCGGTGCCCACTTTGAAAAAGGACAGCCGTGTCCTCATAAGTTTCCTATGTGTTCATGGACAGAAGCAAATCTCTTCTTTTCTCTCAGTTGTTCAGACTGGTTTTGTTTTCTTTTATTGAACTTTCACGGTAAAATAAAGCAAATCTTTGCAAGGCTCGTGGGTGGAGCTGCTAGGGGAGACTGGACAGGCCTTGGCCTGATCCCGGATGCCGTGCAAAAGGGCCTTCCTGCCGGGCCTCCAGGGCCTGGGGAAGAGAGCCTGGCGTGGCCGTCCCCGCGATGCACCTCTGAGCGCCCCCGCCCCCCGGTACCTGAGAGGCTTCCTCCCCCTCCAGTTTGCATGTTCATTCCTTGGGGCTTAAAGTTGCTCCTGTTCTCACCTGGAGATCTCTGTTTCGGGGCAGAGTGCAGCTCCCAAGGCCACTGTGGGGTGGAAGGCACGTGCTTCCTAGGGAGGGCGGCTCTTCCTGCTGCTGTGAATTTGGGGTCCTGCGCAAGTGGGCTTTTGTCTTGGTTTCACCTGATTGCCCTCTGGGGGACAAATGCCTGCCCCTGGCTGTGTCCACCATGGGAGCCATTTTGTGAGAGTGCCCAGCACCATTCAAAACTCCATATGTGCCCAGGGACCAGGAAAGCTTGAGGGCCGCTGGGGGACCGGACCCCTTGCTCAGATCCGCCTCCCTTTGCTGCCTGCAGCAGAACCCAGATCAGCCCTGCCCTCGGCACGGCGTGGGCCGGACCGCAACGCTGCACATGTTCTGCGTGGTCATGTTTGTGGCCCACTTTGACGAGACTCTTCTGCCTCCCAGCTTTGACAAGAAGGGAGAGGTGCATTACCTCATCAAGTGGAAGGACCTGCCGTACGACCAGTGCTCCTGGGAGGGAGACAACACCGACATTCCGTACTATGAGAACTTCAAGCAGCTTTACTGGAATCACCGGTCAGCACTTACTCACTCGGAGCCTTTCCCCTCCCCTCAGAGCCCGGGGTAGCTTCCCTGTGCGGCGTGTGAGCTGCCGGTGCAAGTCCTTTGCTGCTGGCCGTTCAAATGGCCATGGTGCAAGGACCGGGGGCGGGGGGGGGAGAGGCAAGCCATTGTCCAGCGATTTTCCCGAGCATTTTTCAGCTGGGGTGCTCCTGCCTTTGTTCTCATCTCCCTTTGCATCAGGCAGTCTGTCTCCTGGGCCTGCTGGGGCAGGCTCCCTCCCCATCCCTCTTCCCTGCTGTTCTCTGGAAGAGAAAGGCTGGCGCTGTTTGACAGCCGTTCGGAGGAAGGGTTCAGTTCTCTCCTTCTCCCTGGCCCACCGCGCTTGCAGTCCGCTCCTTGCCACTGTCCATGCTGGCCAGGAGTGATGGGGGTTGTGGTTGCTTGCATCTGGAGGGCACCAGCCTGCGGAAACCTGTGGGCATGCGCGTGTGCCTCGTGCGGATCCCCGTCTCATGGGGTGCTTTGCTCTTTGCGCCCTTCCAGGGAGATGATGCTGGGGGAAGAGAGCGGCCAGCTCACCAGGCCCCGGGGCAAGAAGGGGGAGAAGCTGGATGGAGACAGACTGGAGAGGCCTCCTGAGACGCCCCTCGTGGACGTAGGTTGGGCACAAGCGGTTCGTGCAAAGCGGAGGCAGTGCCAGCTCCAGAACGCTGTCATGCCGCTTGATGTTACAGGCTCTCTTGGAAGGGCGCCGCCCATGCTATTCGGTATCCTTTTTATTGCCTTTGATAGCTGCAGGAGAGCCAGGGACACAACACTGCCTGCAACCCTGAACCACAGCGGGTGTCCATGTTTCTGAGAGGCTTCAGCCATATGCTGGCAAGCATAGGCCTGCAGTCACAGGGGCTAGAAACTTGTATTTTACAAAGAAAAGTGAGCTGACATTTCTCAGGAGACTGGATTCTTCAACAGCATTTTGAACTAGATTGGATGATTAGATATATCCAGTTTTGAAAAGGGTGCTGAGTTAACTGAGAACAATAGTATCTGGTTGGTAGCTTTCATGATGCCTGTGTTCCTTTGCAGCCCACTGTAAAATTCGACAAGCAGCCCTGGTACATCGATGCCACTGGTGGAACGCTGCACCCGTACCAGCTGGAGGGACTGAACTGGCTGCGTTTTTCCTGGGCGCAGGGAACGGACACGATCCTTGCCGACGAAATGGGGCTTGGCAAGACAGTCCAGACCATCGTGTTTCTCTACTCGCTTTACAAGGAGGTAGCGCTCCGCTTTCTTACTCAGGGCCTTCCTGCGGGGAAGGAGGCCGCCCCCGCAACAGCTCTCCCTCCCCACAGGGCCACTCCAAAGGGCCGTACCTGGTCAGCGCCCCGCTTTCCACCATCATCAACTGGGAACGGGAGTTCGAGATGTGGGCGCCAGGCTTCTACGTGGTCACGTACACCGGGGACAAGGAGAGCCGCTCGGTGATCCGCGATAACGAGTTCTCCTTCGAGGACCACGCCATCCGGAGTGGGAGGAAAGTGTTCCGCATGAGGGTGAGCCTTGGCGGGCAGGGAGGGGGGCTTCGAAGTGTCCTGGAAGCAGGCGGGAGCACTGCCAGGAGCCGGGCTGCCCACCCTGCGGGCCGGCACAGGCCGCACTCCCTGCCCCTCCCGCCCTTCCTTGCTCGAGCGGCGGCTGGTGGCGTGTGCTTCGGAAGGCCCCTGCGGGGGCACAGTCCTGCAGATGGGCCCCCACGAGCCAGAGGGCCCAGGAGCAGCTGATGGGGTGCGGGGAGCATTTCTGGGGGCAAATGGGGCTGCCTGGGGGAACAGTGTCACCACCGTTCTCAGCACCACAGTCCTCATCTGAATATTCCCTGCTCAGCCGGGGGCACATTTGTCCTCACAAAGCACAGTGGCAAATAGGGGTGTGCATCCCCTGCCTTGGGGTGCAGCTTTGTCCTTATCTTAGAATCCGTTCCTGGGTGTTCTTGCCTTGTAGAAAAGTATAAAGGGGGCAAGAGGTGGAGGGAGGCAGGGTGACTTCCTGAGGATGGGTCACTCCTCGGCCCCTGCGGCTGTGCACTTGCCAATTTTCTTTTTTTTGGGGGGGGGGGGCAACAAGCAGTCCATAGATCACATGCTGCTTCCTCTTTGTTTTTGCACCCTCATCATCTCAGGCACCTCCAGGAAAAGGAAGTGTTCCTTTTAAAAGTGAAAAACAACCCTTTGCTGCCGGAAGCCAGCTGCCCAGTAATCACACTTCCGTGACAAAGGGCAGCTTTGGCCTGTCGGGGGAGCTGCTGCACTGCCAACATTTGGGGCCAGGGGTGTGGCCCCCAGGTGCCCCCTTTTTCTTTAAGACCATTCCAGGGAGATCCAGTCATGGAAGCCAGGAAAGGACTTTACCCTTTCAGGATCAGACCCTGGCCTCAGCCTTCTCATTTCTGCGTACTGGAGGCTTGTGCCCCCAAGATCAGTGGGGCTGTGCATCCAGTCCGGATTGCACCTTGAACTCTAAGGGAGCTCTCCACGGTGCCCAGTGCAAACTAGTCCGTCAGTAGGGATCGCTCCTTTGCAGTTCAGGCTACAGCCTGTAGCAGATGGCCCTGCTGCATGGACACTGGAACCAGTGAGATCAGACCTTGCCAGTCCCCCCGGCTGCAAGCGGAGCCGTCCCACTGACCCCACTTCTCCTTTTCCTCCAGAAAGAAGTCCAGATCAAGTTCCATGTGCTGCTTACGTCCTATGAGCTGATCACGATCGATCAGGCCGTCCTGGGATCCATTGAGTGGGCCTGCTTGGTGGTCGACGAAGCCCACCGCCTGAAAAACAACCAGTCCAAAGTAGGTGCTGCTCTTCAGGGCAGGTGGAAGGTGCTTGCAGTGGGAGCAGAAGGGGTGACCCACCCCCAAGATTCTGGCTTCCGCAGCACTCTCTTTTCCGAACTGAACTGGGAGGTGCCACTTTGCTCTTGCGCAATGAAGAGCTGGGAAAGAGAGACAGTTAAGCAGCTCACATCTGCAGAGGGAGGGAGGGCTCTGGGTGCTTCTTGATTTTAAAGGATGCAAAAGCTGAGCAGCAACTCATGCAGAGATGCAGTGGTCCTCTCTGCCTCAAGAGAGGGTCACTGGAGTAATGCAGTCCTACCTAGGGATGGAGAGAAGTAGGGAAGCTCCAATCTGCTGAAACTCTCCGGACTTTACTTCATATCTTGTTTTGGCTCACTCCTGTTCTCCTTTACAAGCTAGTTTTTAGTTTGCTCAAGAAAAGTTGTGTGTTTCTCAAAACATGTGCTGTTTGAAAAAGTGGCGCTTTTTCAAGTTTGCATTTTGCAAACAGAGACGCAATTTTGGGAGCTTGTGAACTTTTCCTTAGAACACACGCTCCTGTTCATGTTTGGAATTACAACCCGGGCAATTTTTGAAACAAAATTCTCATCCATGCCTGCAGCCGCAGAAGTATCCCCCCGCCCCCCCCTGCACACACGCACACGTGCACACACAGTTGGCCAGAGGTGTTTCCAGTGAAGTTCTGGGCCAATAGCAAAATGCAGCCGGGCACCAGCTCCTCATTTCATTCTGAAAATATTTCTGCCCCGCCTCTCCAGGCGAACCCTCCCCAGGGCTGTTCACAAAGTGAACCTTTTAGAAAGAGGGAGCTGTCAAGCAGAATTAATGACAACTGTAAAACGTGAAACTCTGGGAACGTCCACAAAGAGCTTCAGATGCTGGTGGTGCAGAAATAAAATAAAGAACACCAACAGTATAAAAAATGTTCAGCTGAAAGTAGCCCAGAATACCCAGGCCCATGAGATTATGCGCATATCCCATGGCAAGGCATTTCATAAAGACGGGCCCCCACAGACCCCCCCCCCCGCTTGTAATTCTTGCCAGCCTTGTGGATCTTGCCCACAGGCGGAGCAGTCGGACCTCCAAGGCTGATCTTAAGGCAGGTGCATTCACTCCTTCAGGCAACCTGTCCCAAGAGATTTAGGGCTCTAAAGGTAATGGCAGCTCTTTTAACTGGGCCCACCCAGTCACTGGCGGCAAGCAGCATTGCTGGTCAGGGGTCAGCACCAGCTGCTTCGATCACTTGGCCCTTGCAGGGCGGCAGGCAGCGGCCCCTGTGAAAGGGTTAAATGGCCTGTGAGCCGGGGTGCCGCACCCCTCTCAGCCCGGGGCCAAACCAGTCTCAGAGGAGCTCTCAGGGCCTTGCTCTGGGGACTGGCAGGGCTGGAGGGCGTGGGCAGGATCCAGCCTGCCTGCTTTGTCCATGCCCAACCTGCCGCCAAAGGTTGCCGGCTGAGGGATCACATGCGCTCAGCCCTCGAAAAGACATGTTCGAGGCCACGAGAGCAGGTGGAGCAGAATGGGGGGCTGCTGGCTCGGTGCCCATACCTCCCGTGCTCCCAGGCTTGGGATGTGCCCCCGCCGGCACTGATGGCACTGGCCGTGAGCTTCTGCTGCTACGGTGAGGAGTCAGAGGGATGCTGATGGTGGCGCCACATGTGGTGGTGGAGGCCCATCGGCGAGGGCGTTCAAGGACAGGCTGGACATGCACATGGTGGGCCTGTCGTGAGCAGAGCCAGCTGGAGGCGGGTCAAACTAGATGGGCCGGGAAGGTCCTTCTCCGTTGCCCTGCTCCTCTGGCAGCTGGTGATGGGCTGGGCAGCCACGGCTAGGCCCGCGGTGGTGCATGTGCTGCCTGCTGAGTCTGATTCCGCCTTGCCTCCTCCTCCCTCCACAAGTTCTTCAGGGTGCTCAACAGCTACCAAATCGACTACAAGCTCCTCCTGACGGGGACACCACTCCAGAACAACCTAGAGGAGCTCTTCCACCTGCTCAACTTCCTCACGCCGGAGAGGTTCAAGTGAGTACGTGGGTTGATCTCCCTCACCTGGCCCTCCTGGGCCCCAAAGCAGCAGCAGCAGCTGCCCCCGCCCCCCACCCATGATCAGACAGCCCCTGCTGGCACAGGCTCAACCCAGACCAGCTTTCCCTGGTGCAGGACCTTCAGTGCTGCCGCTCCAGTCAGATCTCTGTCTTGGCAGCTCTTCAGAGACTCAGGCCGGGAGGTCCTTTCCAACTGTGCTTCCCAGCCTTCCTGGCAGCAGGGGCCAGTTTTGTGGAAGAACATTTTTCTACGGACCAGGCAGGGGGATGGTTTTGGGATGATTCAAGCCCATTACAGAAGTGCCTCATACTTTGAACTTAATTCCTTACAGGAGGCCATTTGAACTGTGAGTCATTCAAAGTCCGAATCAATTCTCCCCATTAGAAATAATGGAAAGTGAATCAATCCATTCCCAGACCCCAAACAACACCCATTTCGATAAATTTAAACAGCCAATCCTGCCTCCTGAAACAAATTAAGTTTGAGGTCATATGCAAGGTGTGATCAAAAAATATGGTGACTGTTAATCCCCCTCAAAATGCCCCCTCCCCCCCGCTTCAAACACTCTTCACCCACCGTTCTGGAGTGCCTTTAGCTGCCCTGCTGTGGCTGCCCTGCTGTCCTGGATCGATTCCAGACCAATGGCGAGAAGCAGGAGGAATCGGTTCAGGACAGTGAGGCAGCATGTCTTTGACTGTAGTGTATTTTTTTTGAGTTGGGCTCACAACCAATGATGTCTTTGCTGCAACCATATTTTTTTCACTTTGCTCGCAGTTCAAACTTAGAAGCGCCGTTCTAACTGCGGAGCAGTCTCAACTCTGGATCGTTCAAGAGTCCTGCTGTGTGGCCCGGATCCTAGCAGGCCTGGGGGCTGGGGACCCCTGCTTTAAAAGTGGAGGTGCCCGGGCCTGGAGCCAGTGCGTTGCCCTCCCGACATGGGGTTGGTGGCCCTGCCAGCCCCGTCTGCTCTCCTGCCCGCACACGCACACGACGCTCGCTGCTTTGGCGTCCCCAAAGGGAGGGGTGCGGCAGCAGGAGCTCGGAGGTTCCTACGACAGCTTTGTGGCCGTGGGCCCTGGCCTGAAAGGAGCGGAGAGCTGTAGGCATTGGTCTAACAGAGCACATCCAGCTGCAGCCGGGCCAGCCGGGCCACCACTAGCCCTGCCCCCAGGAGGGAACCAACCAGCTGCTGGTGCAGCGGGCTTCATTTAGGGCACTGCTGCCCTAAATGAAGGGCTGACAAAGCATTTCTGTCTTCTGGGGGAGAAGCGGTTCCACGCAGGCGGCTCACTCGGATGGCGCTGCCCCTGCGGGGGCATCTCGGAGTGGCAGCCTCAGCGTATTGGTGCGTGGAGGGCACGGTGTGTGTCTGCTGAAGGGGAGGCCTCGCTGCTGGAGGGGCGGCAGTCTTTGGGAGCAGGGCAGCTGGGCGCAGTGCGGGGCCTTGGGGACGTGTGTGCACAGCCTGTACAGCCTGAGCAGGTGCATCTTACCTGCAGCCATCTCAGAAGATGGGCGGGGCGGGGGGGAACAAGTGGATCTTTTTAATCCCGTAAAAGTTCTGGCAAACTAACAGAAGCATATGATTTAGGTGGGAACAGGCTTGAGGCCCTGGTACTCGTCTAGTAATGGAAATTCTCGATTTTCCCAATTTCCCCCACCAACTTGCATGGCCATCACTCGAGGCAGAGGCCTCATCCACTGGAGCAATGGGGACGGCGTGTGGGTGGGCCTTGGGACCCCCTTGTGGGCACAAAGGAGAGGAGGGCATGGCGGCATCCCCAGCGCGTCCCCTCGGCCAGCTGAAGCCCACGCTCACAGCAGGGCTCCTTTGGCGTTTGCCTGCAGACCAGCCAGGCTTAAGCTGCCACCTCCTGAGGCAAACGCTTTCTTTTTTTACATTTCTGTACAAGACCAAAGCAGAAGCCACCTGGGTTCTTGTTCGTAAAATGCAACTTAATAAAATGTGGTGTGGGTATTTAAACTACAGTATGAAACCCACAGAAAGACCAGCAACGGTGTGAAGATCTAAAACTACAGTCCAGGAGCAAGCTATGTATGTTTAGGCAGAAAAACTTTGCAGTTCTCAGCATTCCTCAGACAGCAATGGGCAGACCTTCTCCTGTTCAAACTCACCTAGATTTGAACTGTAACTGATTTAAAAACAACCAAGACAGAAAAACCTCTTGGGATATCAGAAGCCGCCTTAACCTGAGTCTGACTGTGGAGCTATTTGATCCAGTATTGTCAACACTGACTGGCAGCTGCAGCTCTCTCTCCCAGGGCTTTACTGCTGCACTATAGCCTCCTCTACCTCCAAAATGTAACGGTCTAGTCCTCATGGCTTTGAGTTCAGGAGTGCTTTAAAGAAGGACTTTGGAAGCTGCCTTATGTTGAACCAGCCTCTTGGTTCCTCTCACCCAGAATTGCTGACACAGACTGGCAGCAGTGGCATTCTGGGTTCCAGGCAGGAATTTTCCAGCCCTGCCCAGAGATGTCAAGGATCCAGCCTGGGACCTGTGGTGTACCTGGCAGGGGTTCCACCACTTACTTGGCACTGAAACTGTGATCATGTCGGTGCCAGGGGAAGCCTGGGTGGGGGGATTCCACAGCTGTGGAGCCCCCACTACAAAGGCCCTCTTCTCAGTCACCAGGCACCTCGCTTCATTGGGGGGAGCATGCAGAGGGGGCCTCTGAAGATGACCTGTGGGTCCAGGCTGCTGCATGTGGGGACAGGCGGTTGTCCAGGGGCCCGGGGCCCTTTCAGGCCATGCACTGGAGGCCAGTGCAACGCTACAGCGCTGGAGCGACACGCCCACAAAATCCCCGGGGCTCTTCTGTCGCTGGAGCACACGCCGCAGCCTGGCTCCTCCTGAGCTTGCCCTCGTTGTCCCAACAGCAACCTGGAAGGGTTCCTGGAGGAGTTTGCTGACATCTCCAAGGAAGACCAGATTAAGAAGCTGCATGACCTTCTGGGACCTCACATGCTCCGGAGGCTGAAAGCCGATGTGTTCAAGAACATGCCGGCCAAGACAGAGCTGATTGTGCGGGTGGAGCTGAGCCAGATGCAGAAGTGAGTTCCCCCCGCCCTGGCTGGGGGCTCGGGAGTGATTGCTGCAGGCTGGGAGGTCCAGCGGCCGCCTCCCTGTGACGGCGCTGCTCGGGAGCGTGGGCCAGGGGTGCCTCCATTCGCCCCGGCCGGTGTGGCAGAGCTCCCTGCTGGATGCACGTGGGCCAGCAGGCCATCTGGGGGTGCTCCCGGCCGCCCGGCCACGCCGAGGAGGGCCAGCAGGAATGTGGGAGGGGTGCACTGAGTGCACAGGCTGCCGAGCCCCCCCCCCCAGGCGGGGAGCACATTGTCTCAGGAAACCAGGCACAGGGCCGCTGCCAGCGCGCGGTGGTGTGGACTGCCAGCCCATGCGCTGCAAAGCGGCCTTTTGCGCTCTGGCCACGCGTGACCGGCTCCTGGGCCTGATCTGCAGGGCCCGGGCGGGATTCTCTTGCACAAGATCCAATGACGGCCCGCCTTTGGGTGGCCTTAGTGGGACCAATTCGCAGAGAAGGCCCTTTGTGGCTACTAATTCTGAGGGCCCTGTGTGATCTCCACTGTCAGAGACAGTGTGCCTAGGGACCCCACTTGCTGGGGAATATGGGTGAGAGGGTGCCTCTGTGCTCCTCCCCGGCTCGTGGGCTTTCCAGAGGCAGCCTCTTGCAGCAGCACTTACCTTGCAGAAAGAGGAAGGACTAGAAACTTGCAATGCCTTTGTGCATTTGCCATCTGCAGTCGGCCAGCAAGGAGGTGTGTGAATGCAGTAGGTGCAGGATCTCCCTGTGCTGCAGGGCACTTCCTGACTGTGAATGCCCAGCAATTCTTCTCTGGCCAGAGCCATAGTGCAGAGTAGCGTGTTCAAGCTCACCTGGGTGCTGCAGTCTTGGACCTTTTTGGATGGCAGGGTGGGCAGCGCAGACTGGTGCCCCTCCGGCTCCTGGCAACACAGAGGTGTCTGCGGAAAGCCAATCCCTTTCCCAGAAGTGCCAGCTTGGAGGCTCTTTCCCCCCTTGTGTCCCTGCAGGAAGTACTACAAATTAATCCTGACAAAGAACTTTGAGGCTCTGAACTCCAAAGGGGGAGGCAATCAGGTGTCCCTGCTCAATATCATGATGGATCTGAAGAAGTGCTGCAACCATCCATACCTTTTCCCTGTGGCAGCTGTGGTAGGTCTGTTTCCGTGGCACGTGTTTTGCTTTGCTTCGCTGAGGGGCCTGGGCCCTAATAAAAGTAGAATGACGATGATAACAACCACCCTAAAATATAAACAGTAATAAGAAGGAGCCCCGTCCCAGCGGCTGGTTGCCAGCTGGTAAGTTTTGGGGGGGGCACCTCCAAGTGGGTGTGGGGGCATCAGGCTTTCAGCCGGGTGCCGCACGGACCTCGGCCTGGGGACATGCGGCCCCTCTGGGGTTCTGGGAGGCCTTCCTGGGCACCAGCCCACAAAGGCATCCTGCGGGCTAAAGCATCCGGCCAGCTCCACGGGTTGCCCTCGCTTCCTAAAGAAGCCTCTGGGCCCCCTCCACCGCGGGCATCCGTGGCTGGTGGAGGGAGGAGCCACCAGGGGCCCTGCTTGGCCCGGAGGTAGCCAGACAGAATGTGTCCGTGGGTTAAAAGACAAATAACAAGCCGGGGGGGGGGGGACCTCTGGGGACGCCAGGAAAGGCACTGCATGGCCCACCCCTGCCGGAGCTGATTGTGGCTGTTTGGCTGCTGGCACATGTGCGGGGGGGGGGGGTGGACATGCATGGGGCCCCTCCGCCTGGCCCGATCACTGCACGTGCGAGGGCTGGGAAGAAGGCCGTCTTGGGGGTTACGGGGAGGGTGCCAGCGGGGTCACTGCTCCTCCGAATTCCCTTGACTGCTCCAGGAGGGGGAACCTCTTCCAGCCCCGGGCCAAGTGGCATCTTGGAGGAGCCCTTGGGCCAGTGGCAAAGGGCCATGGGCAAAGGGCCGCCACGTGAAAACTTAACACTCCAAATGCAGGACCAGAAGTTTCGGGGGGGGGGCACTTCAGTCTTTTAAACTTGCGGGCCAGGATGGGCCACGAAAAGCTTCAAATGCTGGGTGACTGGCCAAGGGGGGATCCCAGAGGCAGATTGGCGCCAGATCTGAGATTCAGCACCTGCCTCTGGGTTTAGTTCCTTGAACTGGAATGACAGGGAAGGAAATGCAGGCTGGGCAGGGGGGTTACTGGCCCCAGGCCTCACCTTGGGAAACAGAGAGGGTGCCAGACTGACTCTCGGGCTCTGCCCACCCCCCAGATCCTCCAGTGAGTCACTCCGGCCTGCTGGGCTCTGTCCGGTGGCCTTGGGCAACGGGGCTTTTCCTGCAGTGGCACCGCAGGCATGGAAGAGCCCGGAGCCCTCTGGACTCTTGGGATACCGTTGCCATATTCTCAGACCACCGGCCACGCTTGCTGCAGTGTATGCGAACAGCTGTCATCCACCCAGAGAGCGTTGGCTGTGGGGCGGTGTATCGCATGAATGAATGAATGCGGACCAAGAGATCTGGTTCCCTCCCCTCCTTGGATGATACTCCAGCCGGAATTGAAAGATTTTCTGGCAATCCTGGCCTCTCACTGATGCTTAACTTGTCATTTCATTTTGGCCCCCTTTTTGTTCCTTTGTCCTTTGAGGTTACGCTGCTGCTTGTCGCTCATTTGTCCCTTTTGTTGTGATTGTTTCCTGTTGGAGTCTTTTCCTGAGCCTCGCCAGGTTACTCCATTTTGCGGAGGCTGGGGAGGTGGGAGTGGCACACACGTTTCAAGATAAAACCATGTTAATAACAGGGTCCTCCTTCCAACATCTTGACATCCAGCCTGGAGAACTTGACAGCTTTGCTCTCCCTGTTGTGTCATTTTGGTTGGTCCTAACAGGGCCATTTCTTGGTGATGGATGGTATTCTTCTAGTTCATGGCCCCTGCACGTGCTGGCTGGGGATGATGGGAGCTGTGGCCCAGCTGTTGGGAGAGTTGTTCTCATGGACTGATCTTGGTGGAGAGGCAGCAGTGCCCTCTCACCTGGGGGCCACCGTGCTCAGTGGGGTTCTCTGGCACATCACACTTTTCTGCAGAGAAGCCGCTTCCTCCTTCGCAACACCCTCCTCTGCGTTCTTCTTAGGAAGCCCCGGTGTTGCCAAACGGCTCCTATGACGGCAGCTCACTCGTGAAGTCGTCAGGAAAGCTGCTGCTGCTGCAGAAGATGCTGAAGAAGCTGCGTGACGGGGGCCACCGGGTCCTCATTTTTTCTCAGGTGGGTGGGGATCTGTACTGCCTGGCCCAAGGCAGCGCAAGCTGCGAGCTCCCGGGAGAACGAGCCGCAGGACAGCCGCCAGGGCAACCCGGCATCCATCAGATGTAGCCACGGGGCCACGGCGGGGCTTGGGACGGGAAGAGCCCGGCCTCCTGCACTGCCATACCTGGCGCTACTCGAATCTGTGAACCCTCAGTTCAAAAGTCACTTTGGCATGACCTTGTCAAGTGCCCGGTCTCCCTTGTTTCTTGCCTGTGTTCTGGACATAACTCTGGGCTACCTTGCAGGGCTGCAATTCACATCACGCTACAGGTGTTCAAACTGCTGTGGCCAGCTGCTCTGATGAGTGGGCAGTCCTTTCTCCATGGAAGAGTTCAGTAAGGCTGGAGAACAATGTATTGCGAATGCCTGATAGTTGAGGCAGACGATGGAAGATAAATGTCACTTTGACACCCAGAATATTTATGCTAATCTTGCTGCTTGGCCGAAAAGACTTTCAGAGCCACCTAGAAGTAGTCAGTCAGTTCCTGCCTGCTTCCAATCTCAAACGGCATGGCATGCAAGGAAAATGGGAGGGGGACGGAAGAGGAAAAGAATCAAATACTTACCCAGCAGGCTGCTGCTCCTCTCACCTCCTCCTGGCTGTGCTGTGCTGGATTGGCAGCTGGGGATGACAGCCGAGGAAGAAGGACCCTTCATGGGGATGGTCTCTCAGCCGGGCGCATGGCATTCCAACCTAGAAGCAAGCCCTCTGGGATTAAATGGGGTTGCAGCCCTGTGTAAGTGGTATCCTCACTCAGGAGAGCCTGTCCCTGTGATTATGCATAAGTTGCTGCTCTGGTCATGCCTCTTGATTGGGCACGTAAGGCAGTGACTCATGCAGAGTTACAACAGGCATCCTCCTTCTCTGGAGGCAGAACATTTTCCTGAGTCTCTGCAGCAGGAATGAATTACTGATCAAACTGTATTGGATGCAGGGAAATGTGGAAGCAGATTGGAAGAGAGCAGTGGCTCATGCAGAGCTGCGCTATGCATTCTCCGCAGTGAGGGTTTGAAAGGAACCTCAAGCTCTTTACGCATGCTAACAGTTCCCTTTTATCTTTCTGCTAGATGACAAAAATGCTTGACTTGCTGGAGGATTTCTTGGAATATGAAGGCTACAAGTATGAGCGTATTGATGGTGGGATCACGGGGGGACTGAGGCAGGAGGCCATCGACAGGTTTAACGGTATTTTGCATTATGGTTTCTGTTGCGGGTCCGAGTTGCATTGCAGCCCACAGACTGCAGTTTCATGGTGCTGCAGCATGGGTGGGGGGGGGAGGGGCAGGGGCAGAAGCAGGTCCTTGGGGACACAGAGGGTCTGCAGGATCTGAGGCCCCTCCCCGGGCAAATGAGGGGCACATGTCTTAGAAGACTGCAATCTTTATGGGTGGAGTAGTTGTTTGACTGCTTAGCAGCTGCTGAGGAAGGATGTATAGACAGTAAAAGCAGCACAGCAGCCAGCCTCTCCCACCTAGAAAATGCGGGGTCTCTGGCCTTTGCTTCCGCCTAAACACGCCCAGGATGGCCTGCAGCACGTCCAAAGGCTGCTGCCTCCCTCAGCAGCAGCAGCAGAGAAGACAGGCAGGAACAAGCTGTCATCGGATGACTGTACCCAGTCCAGTCCAGACAGGTCGGATCGCAAGTGCCATCATCCCCCAGCCAGCATAGCATGGCCCCTGGAAGAGGATGGGCACAGCGGTACTTCCCCAGCTGGAACCCCCCTGGCCCGCCGTGCCCACCCTCTCCCACGGGCCGCGCTCGGCGCCTGAGGCACGCCCTTGTTTGGCCTGGTGCGTGGCTGCAATGGCATGGCAGCGGGCAAGCTGGCCTTTCTTTCCGACAGCTTTGCTAGAAATTTACTTCATTGGGCGGCACACAGGCTGCAGGCCAAATGTGAGCCCCCCGTAGCTACTGAAGGGCACGAAGGGCGACGTTAGCCCGGAGGAAGCCCTGGGAGTTTGCAGCGAGCCCCCAGTCCCGCTTTGCTTCCCCCGCTGCATCTGGAGGTGCGGCAAGAGCACAGCCTGCTGGGCGGGGAGATGGAAGGCGGCCCCCAGGCTGCTCAAAATTGTCCCCACCCCCACGTAGCTATTTCACGGTAGGTATTTTAAGGGTCCTTCCTTAGACAGGAAAAGCCCGACAGCTCCCAGCATGTCCCAATCCGTCCATTCCTCCTTTTTCTTGGAGCCGACTGGGGTCCACAGATGGATCATGGCATGAAACCTGCAGCTTCAGCATCTGCTGTTGTGGAAAGTTCCATCCCTGCAGATATTCTGTGCACAGCATGATGTCTTTCTTCCCCTCTGTAGCTGTGGGGATCAGAAGTGCGAAAAACCAGAAACTGGGTTTCCCATCTGTCCATTGCAAATGCAGGAGGACTCCAAAAAGAACAGCTTTTTGTGTGTGTAGAAACCACCTCCGTGCAGCCCATCCCCCCTGTGTTTCAGTGTGAACCCATCTGGGTGTGGAAGAAGGCCATCCCAGGGCAGTGGGTCATTCAGTGGCACCCCAGGCGGCCTCCCCCAAGAGTGAGCAGTTCTGTGTCTCTCTGGTGTGAGTGGGAGTATGCGCGCATCACTCCTGGAGGATAGCCTGGGATGGTCTTTCTGACCTCAGAAGATGCTGGCTGAAAGAGCGTTCCTACAGAGACACAGCAGGAACCCTCTTGTGCAGGTGGGATCTTTTGGGCTCACCAGAATTTTTCCACATTTAATGGATCTGTACTGCTTGAGAATTAGGGTGCTTGGAAAGGGGGGCTTGTAGCACTCTCAGCCCAATTCCATTGACAAAATCCCATTCAGCAAATTGTGTGCAGAAGAAAAAGATGGAGGAAGAAGTGGGAAAGCACAGGAGGTTTACATGATAAAGGGTGGACATTTGGGACCTGCCACCCCCCTGAAATTCCATGTATCATGACTGAGCAAGTGGGAGGAAAGAAGTTTCCCCGTGATGGCATAACCTGCAATACTCCCCCTCCCCCCGTTTCTCCCAAGCAGTCAGACAGTGTAGCTGGCTGCCCAGATCCACTGCCCATCAGGCTCCCAGCCCCCTAGAAAAGACAGCCGGGCCCCCTGTTCTCCTGTGCCCCTGTCTGGCCTGAGCCCCCGCCCCCCCCCCCGCCCCCCCCCCCCCTTCTTGCTCCCCCCTCCATAACCTGAGCGCTTCCCTGGCACCATGCCTTCGGCACTGCTGTCACTAACCGTTCCCCACCCCCCCGTCTCTCGCCTCTCGCCCTCCCCACCTCTGCCGCTTTTGTCGTCCTCAGCTCCCGGGGCACAGCAGTTCTGCTTCCTGCTCTCTACCCGAGCCGGCGGTTTGGGCATAAATCTTGCAACAGCCGACACGGTCATAATTTACGATTCTGACTGGAATCCCCACAATGATATCCAGGTTCACATCCCTTTTTACCTTTGCGTTCTTCCCCCCGACGAGGGGTGCAGAGCCACAGGGCCCCCATGTGGCCCCCTGGGGCCCACCCTGGCCCCCCAGTGTTCCCCAGAGGGCTGGGCCCGCTTCCCCCAGGCCCTTGGGCGGATCCCATTCTGCAAGGCTGAGATGGCCAAGCTTTCAGCTTGTGTGCCTGGCGTTTTTGGCATTTTTGCCACATCCCGACATCTTCAGCTCTGCCCTTCCTCCTTTTGGCCCATGCACTCTTGGTCTGTGGCCCCCATGAGCGTCTCCAAAACAGAATTGGCCCTCAGGCCAAAGGAAGTTCCGCCCTCTGTCCCAGAGGAAGCTGCATCTCCACGGCGGACCCAGCACTGCTCCGTCTCTCTGGTGTTCCATTTGCTCGCTTCCTCCTTCAGCCATCTCTGTGCCTCAGAGCAGAGCTGCTGCCATTTCCCGGACATGCAGGATGCCTTTCTCTTTCTTTGTGCATTTCCCTTTCCACACTGAGGCATTTTGCACAGCAAGTGCCTCATTTGGAGTTTTTGTTTTTAAACAAGCTTTTCACACGAGCCAGCTGTGCACTCTAGTTCCCTGCTGCCATTTCTGTGGGGTTCTAAAACTTTTATTTTAACATTGCTCGCCTTATTGGTGGTTTAGTTGCATTTTCCCATTTATGGTTTTAGAACTGTATGTGTGTTAATACTTTGAGCATTGATTTGGCCTGTAAAGTCAATGGTCCACATTATTAGCCTACCTGCTAATATGTTGAGACAGAAAAAGCTTTCAGCATCCCCCAACCTGCCAGGATCTCACAGGATTCTTCTCAGCTGAGCTGTAGTTCAGCGTACGTGTCCCTTCGAGAAAGTTCCACTGAACTCAGGGAAGCTTCTTCTGAGCAGGAAGGTCAGAGGATTCTGTAATGGAGTTAGAGGGGCTTGGATTTCGAGACACCCAACCTGCAAACCTGCCTTTTCTTGTGGATTCTACAGACTCATGGACTGTTTTCGCTTCTGAGGCAAATTCATGTCCATTTGCATTATGCAGATCAGCACACTTGGGCAAGTGTGCTAAGGTGCTCCCGTGCTGAGGTGAGTGAGCACAGGCAGGATGAAAAGACTGACTCCGTCACTGCGCGGATGGCGGCATGAGAGGTTCCGGATAATCTGCAAAGCACGGACGAGATGGATTTACGCACATCCCTGTGTTCTTGCACCTGAGCAGTGTGTGCGCACTTGCACTGCTAGTAGCTTTTTGAACAGTGTTTCAGAGAACCTGCTCCAAATGATTCTTAGATCGGTCATGGCCGATTGTCAGCCTGAAAGATGTTCCCTGCCACTTCTTAATGCATCTTGAGGCATTGTGTTTCGATGCGTAGTTCGACTAAGGAAGGAAAGTGCCCAGCAGCTCATATAAAAGTAAAGATATAAGCATTAATCCTGTAGAATTAGCAGTATTAGACAAAAAGTGCAAAAGCACTGTGGGTGTTGACCAGGTGACCTGTGCTTCTCGCTCACCTGAGGACAGGTTTCCATCAGGCCCTATGCAGGGCTGCAGCTCATGGTGTGGTTTGCAAATGAAAACAGTCATTTGAAAAAGAAAAGCAAAAAGGGCACCTGTTTTCAAACTACAAGCCACAAAAATGCTTTATTCACTGACAAGTCACTTTGACATCGTGTACGTTTCTGAAAGAGTGAACACTGTTAAGAATGCGTGGAGGGAGTGCGTACCAACACTGAAAGCAGAAGCAAAAGAACTGCGTGTGATCTTAGAGGTCTGCCCATTCCTTGGGATTCTGGAACCCACTACTAAGTCATCTGAGGCTGCGGGGAAGATTTGAAAGACCAGAGAGGGCTGGGCATGGTCTGAAAGGGATGGTTCACGTCTCTAATTTAGGATACTGTGCCTGAGCTGAACCAGCCCTTAGGGACCCATCCTGTACAGAGTGCTTTCCCCATCTAAATGATGCCCAGAGTTGAGATGGGGCTCTAGTTACAGCTCTGGCAAGCTTGAGAGGGGCACTTTCCGTTCTCCGGTCTTCAGGAAGCGGTGCAGAGCCCTTTTCGGCCTGACAGCCAAATCCCATTTTGGAGACGTGCTTGGCAGCCACATTCCAGCGATAACGGGGTCGAAAGCATAGAGGGCCGAGCTGAAGGCAGAAGGGGAGCGAGTAAAATTCAAAATCTGCCAACACATTTTGGCTTAGCGCTTTTTTGGCGTATAATGCAGCCCTGCAGAGAGTCATTCTGGGCTCTCAGAAAGGGGGAAAAGTGTGTCAAACCCTGGCACCCTGCCCGGGGAGGGTCTCGGGGGAAGGCGGCAGAGCGTGGAGAGGGGCCACAGCCCTCTGGGGAGCACCCGGGCTGGATGCACCCGCCTGGCCTGGAGCTCCCCGCCCTGCAGCAGTGGGGCTGCCCCGGGCCTGGCGCTGGGCACGGGGAGGGAAAGGGGCGTCTCTTCTGCCACCCTGACCTGCAGCGTGGCTCGCCTGTGCCAGGCCTTCAGCAGAGCCCACCGGATCGGGCAGAACAAGAAGGTGATGATCTACCGCTTCGTGACGAGGGCCTCCGTCGAGGAGCGCATCACCCAGGTGGCCAAGAGGAAAATGATGCTGACGCACCTGGTGGTGCGCCCGGGCCTGGGCTCCAAGTCCGGCTCCATGACCAAGCAAGAGCTGGATGACATCCTGAAGTTTGGGACGGAGGAGCTGTTCAAGGATGACGTGGAGGGTGAGCGGGGGGCTCAGTGCCCGGCAGGGAGGAAGGTGGCTGAGATCTTTGCCCCATGAAAAAATGCATGTTCTCCTGCCCCCCCCATGCATTCTTCCCCCCAGAGGTCATGTCTGCTAGGTGGCAACCCTGCAAGAGTTTTTAAACCCTTGTGCAACTCTAGAAAGCTTGCTGGTGCTGTATACTTCATGGTGAGTCAGTCTTGGGAAGCCCCGCAGAGGCACAGTGAGAGCCGCGCACGTGCGGGTGGGGATTGGGGTAGCCCTCCATGCAGTGGGGCGGGGGAGAGGCACGAGGGACGGCCCGTCCAGGGTTCTCCCATCGCTCCCCAGTCACAGGGCTGCTGTGGATAGTTCCTGCCGCATTTTTGTCTAGCAAAGACTCCAAAACCTGAGCGCAGACAAGCCCACCCTTTTGCCATTGGCTGTTCTCCAGCTGTGTTGGTCCAGCTCACAGGATATGCCAGCTGAGGGATTTTGGGAGTTGTAATCCAGCACGTCTGGAGGCACCCAGTTGGTAAACGCTGAATGAGGCTGAGTCTCAGCCAGTGGCTGGGAGGCTCTGGCTTCGAGCCAGGGTCTCTGATGGGGAGGGAGGGTGGGGGGTTGTGAGGGCAAAGGCCTTGGCACATGGGCCTGGATCATGGGGCTGTTGGGTCTGGGAGTGCTTGCACAGAGCTCATGGGCAGCCACCTTGATGCAGCAATTGGCACTCTGGGCAGGGACTTGGGAGACCCGGGTTCCAGTCTCCACTCAGCCAGGAAGCTCACTGGGTGACTTTGGGTCAGTTGCTGACTTGCCCACCTCACAGGGTTGTTGTGAAGATGAAATGGAGAGGAGGAGGGTCCTACATGCTGCCTTGGATTCCTTGAAGGAAAGAGTGACACATAATTATGTTGTGAATAATGAATAGCAATAGTTTTATGTATTATAATACATATTACAGACAATATGATATATGAGTAATTATTTTTTAATAATTGTAACACTTGTAACAATTGCACTATATAGTACATATGTGTGTGATAAGGCATTGTTCTCGGTGATAGTAATGCAACGGCCAGCTGGAATGCTGAGCTGAGAACCGGCCAGGACCTGGGGGGGGCGGGGGCTCCCCCCCCCCCCGCTGCAGCCCTGCTGGCGGCTTCGAGCTTCTCGGGAGCTGCAGGCAGCTGCTTGCACTGTGCCTGGCCTTGGTCCACTGAGTTCGGGGACCACATGGGCCAGCAGAGGCCCCAAGAGATTCTGGCTCTCCCCCGACCCACCAGGAGTTGGCGGGCAGCAGCCTGGCCCCTTGTCAGAGAGGAGGGGGCTTTCCCATCTCGGAAGGGCTCGCATGCTAGATCAGGCGCGGAGCCTCGGCCCCTGGGAGCAAAGCCGGGCCTCCTGGGTGTCCGGTTTGGCCCTGGCTGTTGCCCGATGCCCCACCCACTTTGGGGGGCTTCCTGGCTTCTCTGCTTCTTTTGAAAAGCTTGAAGAAGGTTTAGTTATGGGCAGGAGGTGCTTTAATCTACCCAGTGCTGGCCCTGGGGGGTTGCAGCCCTTTTGCCTCCAGCCCCCCCCCCCCCCGCATCACAAGGTGGTGGCCCGGGAGCTTTTCTGGAGGGTGGCTCAGCCCCGGCTGGAGAGAGGCTCTGCGCCCCATCCTAGGCGCACAGCAAGCTCCTGGCATTGCCCAGATTCCGCTGGTCCTTGTTGAGGCGGCCAGAGAAAGCGGGCAGTCCTGCCCTGCGGCCTGGCCCAGGCCCGCCCCACGCCCGCTGCTCACTCGCACTCCCTCTCTTATTTATTTATTATTTATTAAAACATTTTTATGCCGCCCCATGCCACCCCATCTCTTGCCAGGCATGGTCTCCCAGGCCCAGCGGATCGGTGTGCCAGAGGCCGTGGCCCCTTTCGCTGAGGCCCTGGCCTCCAGAGGAGGGGCTGCAGCACCCGGCGTGAAGAAGAAGCATGGCGGCCCGCCCCCAGGTATGTGAAGGACCCGGGGGTGCGCGGGCCCTCCAGCCCTCTGCCCATCCTTGTCCCGGTGCCCATCGGGCCCTCTTGCTCCTGAAGGACATAATGTGGATGCTGCTGTTTGTCAGGGCAAGGCTGGAGGCGGTTGGGGGCAGCCTGTCACAGAGCTGGGCGGATCATCCGGGAAGAATCCGCATGTCTCAGCTGGGTGTCGTGAGCTCGTTGGGAGAGCCCTGCTGGATCGGTCCACTGAGACCGGTGTTCTGTCCCCATTTGGGCAACCAAGCGGCTGCCCTGGTGAGTGGGCTGAGTATATCGGCACCCTCTCACCCATGCGTCCCAGCAACTGGCGTGCCTCGGCACACGGCCTCCGACTGGTAGCCGTGGACAGTCTTTTCCTGCGGAATTTCCCCAGTGCCCCCCTCTTGCAGGGAGGCAATCCCACAAGGCCCTGTCCTTTCCCTGTCCCACTGCTCAGCTCCACGGGGTGACCCTGCAGGGACCCAGCATGAAGGGAGAGTGAGAAAAGTGCCCCTATGTGCCCCAGCGAGTCTCCGGCCCACGCGAAGCAGCCCAGGTGGTGCAGCCTCCCTGCCATGAGCTCAGCCTGCTCATCTGCTTGGGCCCCTCTGCTCCCACGGCCCGGGCTCCTGGGCGCGCCCGAGGGCCCCGGCCTCTGCTTCCCCTCGCCCGCCCTTCTTCCCCTCCCAGGTGACAGCAAAGATGTCGAGGACAGCAGCGTGATCCACTACGACGATGCGGCCATCTCCAAGCTCCTGGACCGCAGCCAGGACGCCACCGAGGACGCAGAGCTGCAGAACATGAACGAGTATCTGAGCTCTTTCAAAGTGGCCCAGTATGTTGTGAGAGAAGAGGACGGTGTGGTAATGTGTCCAGCATCATGGGCTTCCTTTGGTCTTCTGAACGCATTGATTTATTTCAGGGCGTCTGCTTCCTAAAATGCCCCTTGGTGTCTTCAGGCTGTGTGCAGCCTGCTGAAATCTGCAGACACAAAAAACGGTAGAGAATGGTGTGAGGCATGACTCCAGGGGCCCGATGCTGCCAAGGCACCTCATTTCGGGGGACACTCGGGACAAAATTCGACTGCTTGTGGCGAAGATGAGCCGCAGTTGATTGAGTGCCGTGATGCAACACGGATGCAGGAAGCAGGCAGGGGGGCAGAGCGCTGGCGCGCTTCTGCCCTGTGGCCACACGGGCCCCTGCATGGCCCGGGGACGCTCTGGGGCTGCAAAGTGGGCTGGGCAGGTGATGGGCGCTTCTGCTCTCTCCAGGCTGAGAACAACGAAAACGCCTCCCGCCGCGGCTCTCACGGCTCTCCTGTCCCAGCGTCTGTCGGGGCCCACACGGGCCCAGCCCTCCTCCCTGGGATATGGGGAGGGGGCCGTGCTTTTTCAGTCCAGTGCTCACCAGCCTTGCCCAAGGCAGTTGCCTGGGAAGAGACGCTTCCACGCATGGCTCCAAGGAGCTGTCCTGGCTTTGGGGCCCTGGAAAAATCCCTAATAGCCTCCTCCTCAGTCTTCTCAGAGCCCCTCCAACAGCCTCTGGAGCCAACAAGATGAAGACCCAGGCTGACATCCACCCACTGAGCACAGCCAGCAGCGGCCTCCAGCCTCCATCTGTCTGCTGCTTTGTGCTGCCTCTCTGGAGGGCTCTCCTTTCGAGGTTTGCCACGGAGCCCCTCTCTCTTTTGCCATGGAAACGCCCCGCAGCAGAAGATCCCGCGTACCCTCTCAGCTGTCCGTGTGCCACATGGGCTGCGGCCATGTACCACCTGGGCACAGGAGGGTCCACAGCGGCTCCCCTGGCCTCTTTCCGGTGGGGTTGGTTTCGGGTTGCGGTGCTCCAGCAGAGTGCCTCCTCTGCATTGCCCACAGCAGCGTTGTGTTCGGGGTTTCACATCCAGGCTTCCGGCACCGGAGCAGGCTGGACTGGGACTGGTCAGTGCGGCAGCTCACCCAGCACTCGCTCTGCCTGTCTGTTCAAGGGACAGAATCTTGTCCACCCTCACTGGTCTTGGGGAAAGGCTAGAAGCCTTCTAGGAAGACCCTCCGCATCCCTTCAGGTGCTTCCTGCAGGGCTCTCGTAGAGGGGCAGGACGGCCCCACTGACCCTTCTTCCCCACTCCAGCAGCAGAGCCTCAGCTCCTGCCCACAGGCTGGCCCTCGCTGTGCCACACGGGCAAAGCTGACCTGCAAGAGACTTCCTGGGAAACTTTGCAGTCTGTTGGGCTTCCTGCGGGTCCTGGCATTGCCAGGCACAAAATATTGGGCACCAGAGTTGGACATTAATCCAGATTTTTTTTACTTTCTAAATTTATTTTAAAAATGTATAAAACACACCTGTACCTAGGTATCTTGTGCATGGCAGGTTCTTCCCAGTTCAAACTGCAACTGGCTTTTCGAAAAAAAACCCTTTGCATAGCATAGCCCTGTGAAGAAGTCCACCCAGATTGCACCTCTGCACCTGGGATGGAGAGATTCCTCAGTTTTGGACTTGCCAAGATGGTCCTCTTTTAGGGTTCTGCTTGTTCCTTCTTTTTCCTAACATAGAATCATAGAATGGTAGAGTTTGGAGGGGCCAAGAAGACCAATGAGTCCAACCCAGAAGTGTGGCCTCTGGATCGAGAGAGGTATTACTACCGCTCTATACGACTCTGGTGTGCCCACAACTGGAGTATTGTGCTCAGTTTTGGGCCCCTCATTACAGGAAGGATATAGCCAGGTTGGAGTCAGTGCAGCTTAGGGCCACAAGGTTGGTGGCCGGTTTGCAGGGGATGGGATATGAGGCGAGACTGAGGGAGCTGGGTCTCTTCAGCCTGGAGAAGAGGAGACTCAGAGGGGATCTGTTGGCGACATACAGGCTTGTGAGGGGATGTCACACGGAAGTGGGGAGAGACCTGTTCTCCCCTTCAGAGGAAGGCAGGACGTACTCCAATGGAGCAAAGCTCAGGGAACCAAGATTCAATTTGGATGCCAGGAAGTACTTCTTGATGGTTAAGACCCTGATGGCATGAAATGGGCTTCCAGGTGAGGTGGTTGAGGCCCCATCGGTGATGGTGTTCAAGGCTAGCCTGGGCATGCACATGGTGGGCATGTCGTGAGTGGAGCCAGCTGGAGCCGGGGGTCAGACTAGATGGCCCGGGAGACCCCTTCTGACTCGCTCTGTTTCTATGTTTCTGCTGCTCAGTGCATGAAGGACTCTAAGCAAAACCACCCTTCTCAGGTGGCTCCCCAGGTGCATCCTCGGGTGCAGAGCCCACCACCTCCCCAGGTCACGGGTCCCATTGCTGTACTGATCTCACAGTCAGAAGTTCTTCCTGATGTCCAGCCAGCGTCTGGCTTCCTGCCACTTTAGCCTGTTATTCCGCATCCTGCATTCTGGCAAGATCGAGAAGAGATCCGGGCCTTCATCTATGTGACAGCCTTTCAAGTCCTTGTAGAGGGCTATCTATCTCCTCTCAGTCTTCTTGAGGCTAAACATGGGGTCATCCTTGTCACCCTCCTCCAAACCCTTCCCAGCTTGTCTGCATCTTTCTTACTCTGTGGTGCCCAGAACTGGATGCCGGACTCCAGATGAGGCCTCGCCAGTGCTGAGGAAAGGGGGACTAGTACTTTGTGTGATTTGGAAGTGATGCTTCTGTTAATGAAGCCAAAAAAGCTTTTGTCCTTTTTGCAGCCACATGACATTGTTGACTCTAATTAATTTTTGCCATCTTTCCTTTATGCTGAAATTCATACTTGGTGTGCATTTCCCCAAATGTCTGCATTTTTGGAATGCATTTCCTTTAAAGTCCTTTCCACAGAAGTGGAAAGCTGTTTATATGCACAATTTGTGGGCACATTTCCTCAGTGTGTCTGCATTTTTTCCCTAAGATAAGCCTTATTCGAACAACTGGGATGCAACTCTATTTTGGATTGTTGAAGGGTTTAGAGGTGCAAACTGGGTAAGGATGCAATCCTAAATCCAGGCATCTCCATGTGAGAAGGTATAAAACCATGACGCTAGTGCTTCCGGCGGCAAATGCATGCACAGTGCTTGGTGCAGTGCTGGAAACCTGGCTGTGGCAACGCATGGGGCAGGTGGGTCCTCAGCAACCTCGGCAGGGAGGAGATGCAGTGACTGGCTTCAAGTGCTCCCACTCCTGATGGCCAGTTGTTCCCAAATGGTGCGCCATCTTGCAAAACAAAAACTTCCCAGGCAGTCTTTCCCAGGCTTGTCCAGATGTTTCATCCTACAGTCCCCAGCATCCCTAACTGGGCAGTGCCAGCTGGCAGTGATGGGAGTTGGAGCCCCAAAATTCCGGAAGGCACAGGGTGGGAGACCATGCTGACCTGGGGAGCTCAGAGCACACTCCGGGGTGGTGGGTCCTGGGGTGTCTGCATGGCCTTGCCAGCTCCCCTCCGCTGAGGGGCTGCAGCTGCGGCATGATGGAACTACTTGCCAGCTCGGAGGCACACCAGGATCACTTGCTGCAGAGGAGGTTGCCTGTTGCTTCCCTGCATGCAGCACAGTTTTGCTCTTGCAGTTGGGTGGTGCACCCGGAGCAGGGACTCACTGCAAACTAAAGAGCAGAGGAAATCCTTGCTCTTAACTTTAGAGGTAACCCATTTCCAAGTCTAGGAGGGACGCCTGGTTTCTGTGAATATATTTGGGTTTCTTCTCCTGGTGTGAATCCTGTGAGCCACTGGACACAGACTGGTGGGGCCGGCTCAAAGCCCCACTTGGCTGAGGAATTTCTGGGTGGCTTTGGGCCAGTCCTTGGCTCTTGGTCCAACCAACCTGACAGGGTTGTCGCACGAGGGGCAGAGGGCCATGTACAGGGCCTTGCGCCCCTTGGGAAAAGAATTCTGGATAGAAATGCAGCGGAAGAATGCCTGTGAGGGAGAGGCGAGGGCATTGGCGGCAGCTGCGCTTGTGTCTCCAAGCCTCAGTGCCGCCAGGGGTTCTGAGTGCAACCCCGGCACTCCACTGCTGTTGCAGGAGGAGGTGGAGCGTGAGATCATCAAGCAGGAGGAGAACGTGGACCCTGATTACTGGGAGAAGCTGCTGAGGCACCACTACGAGCAGCAGCAGGAGGACCTGGCCCGCAACCTGGGGAAGGGCAAGCGTGTCCGCAAGCAGGTCAACTACAACGATGCCTCACAGGAGGACCAAGGTACGGCTGCCAGGTCGCCTGGCTCCGTGCTCTGCGGCACACCAAGGTCTGAGTCTGCCCTGGCAAAGCCTGGCGTGGAGTTCTTCAACACCCAGAGCCAGCTTGTCCACGCGGTCCTGCTCCCCAGGGCTTGGTGCCAAGGGTTGGCGTGGCCGGGCACTGCTCAAGGCCCGCACCCAGCAGGGGTCCCCTGAACCGCTTCTCCTCCTCCTCCTGCCACCTGCCTGCTCACCCACCTCCTGCCCTGGTCCAGACAACAGTGGTGGCATGGAAGAGAGACAGGCGAGGCCGCGGTCCCTCACGCCTGGGCTCTCTGGCAGCTGGGCAAGGAAGTGGGTGCCCTGAGGAGGAGGAGGGCAGGAGCAAGAGCAGTTGCAGCCCATGGTGTGGAGAAGGCGGACTCCCTGAGGGCGGGCACACTGCCAGGTTCATCAAAACCCATGGCTGCCTTCGTTGCCCAGGCCAGACCAGATGTTTCTCCCTTCTTCTCCTCCTCTCTGGCAGAGTGGCAGGACGAGCTGTCGGACAACCAGTCCGAATACTCCATCGGCTCTGAAGATGAGGATGAGGACTTTGAGGAAAGGCCGGAAGGACAGAGTGAGTGGGGCGCTTGTGATGGTGCCCTTTTCCTTCCCAGTAGCCCTCCGTCCTGCCAGGTGCACGGGGGCCGGGCGAGTCGTCCTGATCCTGGTGGGACTTTGTGGGCCGTGAAGAGACTCTGCCTAGGACCAGCTCTGAGCTCTGCTGGGTTTAGCTTGGGCATTGGAGCAAGGCAGAATCAGAGCAGAGACGGAAAGGAGGAAGCGGGGACTGATGGCCCCATTCGCCTGGCACAGGCAGCCTTGCTTCACCCGCAGCAGGCCCAGGGTTCGCTTTTGACTCCAAGCGTCCACTGCTCGTGGAGTGGTTCTCTGCCATTTCTTACACTGGGCATGGTGGAAAAAGTGAGGGATCAAAAAAGGGATGGCAGAAGGAAATGGGGAGCAGACTGGAAGATGGGTGAGGGAGGAGGTGGCCTAAAGAAGGCAAAGAAAGAGAGGAGATGGCAGGGGGAGAAGGGGTGGCCTGGACGTTGTCCCTCACCTCTGGCTGCAGCCACGCCCTTTCGGCTCTTGCCCTTGATGCACGGCCGGAAAAGCTTCTTCCTGGGGGAATGCGGCATGTGGCAAGGTTGGGCTGAGCTGAGCGTGGAGGGTGAAGGTCTTCCTCTTGGGACAACTGAGTGCCAGAGGAGAGTGGAGAGATGCTACCTGTCCCATGGGAGTGATGGGAACAGCCTCCCGACATTCTCGCTCCCACATAACTCTGAAAGGAAAAGCATCCCCTTTGCCTGACATCTGCTGTCCTCCTGTACTTCTCCTCCGGCCACTCGCTTTATTATCCCCTCCCTACAAAACCTGGCTTGCAAGAATACAGAAAAAAGGCAGCCTCCCTTCTCAGGCCCATCTTGGCGTCAACCTGGGGCGGTTCTGGTGGCCGGACAAGGAGATCAGGTCAGGGGGTTCTGCACAGAGCCCTTGGCCTTCCCTTCCAATGGGGGTGATTGGGATAGTATGACCCCAAAGAGCAGAGACTGCAGGTGGCGCAGTGGTTTAAACCGCTGTGCTGCTGGGCTGGTTGATTGAAAGGTCGTCGGTTTGAATCTGCACAACGGGGTGAGTTCTCGTTGCTCCGTCCCAGCTCCTGCCAGCCTTGCAGTTCGAAAGCATGCAAATGCAAGTAGATAAAAGGGTACCACTTCAGTGGGCAGGTAACAGTGTTCCGTGCACCTCGGTGTTCAGTCATGCCGGCCACACGACCACGGAGACTGTCTGCGGACAAACGCTGGCTCCCTCAGCCAGGAGACGGAGATGAGCACCGCCCCCAAGGGTCAGGCATGACTGGACCTTTTGTCAAGGGGAAACCTTTACCTTTACTTTACCTTTAAAGAGCAGAGAAACACCAGGCAGGGAGGGATGGGTCCATTATTTTTTTTTAACCTCTCGGCTTCCGTGTGCTTCTCAAAAGCGGAGCACAGTCCTCGTGGTCAGCTCCACAGGGAACTGTACTGCCTTCTGCCCAAGTGCCGTGCAGTGGCCACTTCACTGTCACCCCGAGGGGGTGTCCGCATGCACAGGCTGGGCCCTTCCCATGTCCTGGCACTGCCTTGTCTCCTCTGGTGCCTGCAGGTGGCCGGAGGCAGTCTCGGAGGCAGCTGAAGAGCGACAGGGACAAACCTCTCCCGCCGCTTCTGGCACGGGTGGGCGGGAACATCGAGGTAAGCTCTGGACACAGCAGCACCTGCTGGGTCAGGCGGTCCATTCCATCCCAGGGCAATTCCAGGGTCTGCACCTTCCTTTCTCTAACAAAAGGACACAAGCAGAGGCAGCGCGCTGGGGAGGAGCAGAGAAGGCGTGGCTTGCCTTGTCCTCCGTCCCCTGTTCCCGCCTCTCTTTGCAGGTGTTGGGTTTTAACGCTCGGCAGCGGAAGGCCTTCTTGAACGCCATCATGCGCTGGGGGATGCCCCCTCAGGATGCCTTCAACTCCCACTGGCTCGTGCGGGATCTCCGCGGCAAGAGCGAGAAGGAGGTCAGGTACCAGAGTCCCCCCATGAGCCAAGCCTCATCTCAAGGTTGCCGCAAGCCACGGAGAAGCAAGGCAGGCTGCTTTGTGCACTGGGCGGTCCCCAGAATGGGCAGCCCCCCACTAAGTGGTTGCCCCTTGAAGTCAGCAAAGCACTATGTGCCACTGGCTAAAGAGTGCACCCCAGACCAGGATGTCCCACACACAAAGTTAACTGGAACAACCGAACTGAACCGCCTCACATCGCACCAGTCCCTATGAGCAACCACGACCACAAACAAACAAATGGCAGAGCCAAAAGACGTTGCTGAGCAATATTGATTTATCAGTTAGAAACACAGAAACAGAGCAAGTCAGAAGGGGTCTCCCAGGCCATCTAGTCTGACCCCCGGCTCCAGCCAGCTCTGTTCATGCAATTCCCAACCTGTGGTTGTCCGACCTTTCCTAGAACACCCCCAGTGATGGGGCCCCACCACCTCCTGTGGAAGCCCATTCCATTTCCTAGGGGTCCAACCATCAGGAAGTCCTTCCTGACATCCCTGAGACCTGATTCCTTGACCTTTGCCCCACTGGAATGCATCCTGAGTGCTTGGAGGAAGGACGGGATATAAATGCAAGCAAGCAAGCAAGCAATAAATAAATAAATCCTTCCCTCCATCACAGGGGAGAACCGGTCACAACCCTCCACTGTGTGATACCCCTTTGCATACCTGCATGTCACCAACGGATCCCCTCGGAGTCTCCTCTTCTCCAGGCTGAAAAGGCCCAGCTCCCTCCGTCTCGCCTCTTGTGGCATCCTTCATGCTCTTAACTGCCACACCCAGATTGCAACCACAAATGCCACCCTCCAGCCCTCTCGTACTTCTCCGGGTTTCCACAAGGCCTCAGAAATGAAGGCCAACAGATGCCAGAGTACCCCTGCCAATTCCTGAAGTACTCTGTCAGGTTGGACATCCTTGTAATGTCCAGGGCCCTGAGTTGCTCAATGTCTAGGGAGGTGACTCCAATCTGTGCCCCCAGAACCCCAACCTCATCTGCCCCCCAGGTAGATCTCCTCCAACCTGCCTTGGGGAGAATACTGCCTTGTTAAAATAATCATTTAACATCTGTACCTGTTCCCTTACATCAGTTACCAGATCCCCTTCTTCGCTTTTAAGCAGCCCCACCACCTGTCCCCCCTTCCCCTACTATTTACAGAAAGGTAGACGCCCTCTTTGTTATCTTGATCTTTGCAAGCTCATCATATTTAGCCTTGCAAAGAATCCTTCTGCATCGTCCCGCCTTGTCCTGGTATGCTTTTTTAGCAACATAAAAACAGTGAGTCGGAAGGGGCTCCTGGGCCATCTGTTCTGACCCCCGGCTTCACTCATGACATTTATTTATTTAGTAAAAGCTTTTCTAACTCATCTGCCACTGACATCTCGGGATGGCTTACAATGAAATGACACCCTTTTGTCCACTTGTCCCTTTCATGTGCAGGTCCTTTTCGCTTCCATTCCTGCTCACCACCTCTCTTTTCATCCATGGGGGTGCCCTCCCAGTTGGGCAATAACGTCACCCCGCCATCAGGTCCCTGCCCCCGTCTGGTCCCATCCGTCTCACCCGGATCGCCTCTACCTGTCGCCTTCTCCCCTGCTCCCGATCTCATTGCATCCTATGCTTCCCTTAACATATAGCACTATACCCCCTCCCCTCCTGTCCTTCCTAAACAGAGCATTCCACCCCACCACCCCGTGTTCACATTCCAGTCCTGCTTATCATCCCACCATGTTTCTGTGATCCCCACCGGGTCATACCCACCATTCCCTGGAGAGTCTCGCACTCTTTCTGCTTGATTCCCAGGCTCCTAGCATTGGTGTACATGCATCTCAGCTCTTTCCTGTGAACTCCCCTGCTTTGCTCCCCCAGCTGCCTCCTTCCTCCCATCCTCTCTGGCACAGCAGGAGCTTTCAGTGCAGTAATGATGCCAGGCCCTGATCTTGTTCCTTCACGTGACTGATCTCGACTGCTGGCTTCTGGGGGTCCTGGTCCCCACCGATCAGTTTAAGCCCTCCAGACAAAGCTCTTCCCTGCGATGGGGTCTGAGCAGGTGCAGAACCCACACGTGTGATGCACGGAGGCCATGAAGAAGAGCACAGGGTCGGTGCCTGCTTGAACTCCCGAGCCAGCACTTTCAGAGAAACGGGCTGCCACGCTGCAAGATGCCAGCTGAGCCATGTTTCCGTGCAGAAGTGCCAGGAGACTCTTGCTGACCAGGCAGGGTGGGGAAGAAGACGCTTGCAGGTCGGGGCTCCCTCTCCCAAGCCATGCACCTGCCCTGGAAGCAAACAGGCGGCATGGCTCCCTCGGTGAGGAGTCGCGTGCCAAAAAGGGGCAGCCCCAGACGTGCTGCCATGGTCGGGGGGGCATGGGAGGCACTGCAGCTGAAGCCTCAGGCGAGTGGGGCCTGGATTGTGGCACCCCCACTGTGTCTGCCCAGGGAACCTCTTGGGGGGGGGCAGACGGCACTCGGAGCATACGGGTGTCTGTGGGCCCAAGAGGAGCTGAGTCTCTGGGAGGGAGGGCAACCCGATCCAGGATGCGCACGAGTCAGCTTCATGGACCCATCTGTCCTGCCAGGATTCTGCTTCAGTTTATTGGTCTGCATCCAGCCCATCGCGAGCCTTTGGCAACAGCACTGTTAGGACCAGCAAATGCCACAAAAGAGCGTGTGAGCTTTTGAGTTCTCCAGAACGCCTCACCAGGCCAGGTGCTCAGAAGCAGGGGGTTGCGGGGAACCCTGGCATGTGGCCCAGTGTTGCAGCCATGCAGTCCGCGTCTCTTCTCAGTGCTGTGCAGGGCTCTGTTTCGTGCTGTCACAGCCGGCACTTACTTCCCGCCCACATACCTGCCGAGGCCCAAGAGTGTCTCATCCCACACTGTCATGAGCTGCTTGGCTCAGAGGCTGGTCATGAAGGCCACACTCCTCTTCCATGCCTGCCTCCTAGGGGTAGATTGCCTCTGGCTGTGGAGGTTCAACGGAGTGCCGGTGGCTCCCCGGCCCATGCCTCTCCAGGCTAGGCCTCCGGCTCTGGGTCCACCCTCCCTCTCCTTTCCTCCTCAGAGCTTACGTGTCCCTGTTCATGAGGCATCTGTGTGAGCCCGGGGCAGATGGTGCAGAGACCTTTGCCGACGGCGTCCCCCGGGAGGGGCTGTCCCGCCAACATGTGCTGACACGCATCGGGGTGATGTCTCTGGTGAGGAAGAAGGTGGGTGAATGTAACAATTCCTTCATGCGTGGCTCTCCTCAATGCCCCCACCCTACGACTATCCTTGGGGGGAGCTGCCCAGCTTCCTTTTAAATTTTTTTGCTGTTTTCTTAAATGAAATCTTCCAAATTTTTTTAATTTTACCAAAACTCCACCACATATGGTAGAAAGTCCCACCTACTTTTTAACATTTTCACCGTTTTCCATTATAATTCCTGTCCATTTTCTCTATATCTTTCAGGGTAATATACCACCAAAAAAGCATTTTATACCAATTTTCTTTTGGTGCTTGACTGGCTGTGAATTTTATGTCTTTTTCCATAAACATTGGCAGGGCAATATTTCATTTCCAAGGTTCTGTGTCCAGATTATCATACATTTCTTAACTTGTTGAGTTTCAGTGTCAGATTGGAGTGACTGCTTGTAAAGAGAACGATCCTTCCCTTGTGTAATCAGCTTTTCAAGTTCCATCAGGGCTCTTACAGTTCCTTTCCCTGATTGGAATTCCGCTTTCAATCTTGAAACCAATTGGAAATAAACAAGCCATTCTATATTTACCCCTTTATCTTTTGATTGCAGCCAAGGCTTAATTTGTCCTTGTTGAACAATCGTATCCCTGTAAGTTCTAAGATCATTGTTTTTCCTTGAATACTTTCCATTTGCTTCAGCTGGGGAATCAAAGGAGAAATTCGAGGGCTATTTCTTCCCATAGAATACCAAATTTTTATTAAGCCATCTCTTAGTACATGGTTATTGTTTGATGTCAAGTCCTTTTTAACTGACTCTTTGGGAATTCCTTCTTCAAGATCTGCTATTTCTAGCTTCATTAACCTAGCATTAACATTTTTAAATCAGTCTGAAGTCCAAACCAAACTGGCTGTGTAATAATATAGTTTTAAATTAGGTACTGCAAGATCTCTTTTCTCTCTTTTCATCTTCATTTCATTTCATTTTTCAATTTATATCCTGCCTTTTTCCCCAAAGGGCTCAAGGCAGCTCACATCTCCTCCTCCATCTTCTCCCCACAACAACAACCCTGTGAGGCAGGTTGGGCTGAGAGTCTGTGACTGGCCCAAAGTCACCCAGCTGGTTCTATGGCCGAGCGGGGACTTGAACCCAGATCGTCTAAGTCCCAGTCCCACGCTCTTAACCACCACACCACACTGGCTCTCTCTTGAAGAATTTTAAATCTAATCATTAGCTTTTTACCATTTCAAATAAAAGTACTCAGTTGTCTTTGCCACTCTTGGAGAGTTTTTCCCAGTATAGAAATTGGTATCATCTGAAATAAAATCAAATTGGATAATATATTCATTTTTTAAAATAGAAATTCTTCCTAACCATGATACATTTAATTTAGTCCATTTTGTAGATCTTTTTGAACCTTCATTCACATTGTTTTATCATTATCTTAAAATAATCTGTCATTATGTCTGTTATGTTTATCCCTAAACATTTCACTGGATTTGAAGTTAATTTTTTATCCTTTCCTCTTCAGAGAAACATAGAAACAGACTGAGTCAGAAGGTGCCTCCCGGGCCATCTAGTCTGACCCCCGGCTCCAGCCAGCTCCGGTCATGACATGCCCACCATGTACATGTCAAACACGTTTCTGGGGGGCCTGAACCCCCCCCCCCCCCCCCAGTTTAAAGTCTTCCGGACACAGCTCGCTAGAGCATCTCCAAAGGACCTTTTCCCCATCCTCGTGAGGTGTAACCCATCCCTTGCCAGAAGTCCATTGGCAAGAAACTGAGTGCCATGGTCGAGGAACCTGAAGCGTTCCTTCTGGCACCACACCCTAAGCTGGCCATTCACCTCGGAGGCCCTCCTGTCCCTTCCTGGCCCAAATCCCCGGACAGGTAAGATTGACAAGAAGGCTACTTGGGCCTTTAGCTCCCTGAGTTTCTTCCCCAAGGCCTCAAAGTCCCTGGTGGTCCCAACCACACCCTGCCTGGCCACATTGTTTGTGCCCACATGGATCGCCAGCAGCGGCTGGTGACCCCCGGAGCGAACAAGATGCTCCACTCTGTCCTTCACATGCTGGATGCATGCGCCCGGCAGGCAGCAAACCTCCCTTGTCTCCAGGTTGGGGCGGCACACCGCCGGCTCAGTGCTCCTCAGCAGGGAGTCCCCAACAACAATCACCCACCAACGGGTCTTCCCGGTGGTGGTGGGCGGCCGTGCCCTGGCCCTCGCCTCTCCTGCAGCAGCCCCCTTGCCGCCTGACGTCCCAGGCTGGGGGTCCTGCTGGTCCCCCGAGGCCTCATTAGCCCCAGCCTCCCCAAGTGGAGAGAACCTGTTTCCCAGCTCCAGATTGGTGCCAGGAGGAGGAGGAGGCCGTGCTGGCCTCCCCCTTCTGTGGGTGACATGCCTCCAAGTCTCCGCGGCTGCTCCTCCCATGGCCCCTCCCTCAACCCTCTGTCCAGAAGAGGGCTGCTCTGGGGGGGCCTGGAGGGCTCTCTCGGCCCTCAGGCACCTCACCTCCTCTTCTAGCAGGGTCACCATCTTGCACCAAGGGCAAGCGCATCCCTGCCTCTCCTGGGGGAGAAGGGCGAACATGTTGCAGCTCTCGCAGCGGCAGCAACACCCGTGACTCCCGCCAAGGCCATCTCCTGGTCTGCCATCGGTATCCCTTCCGAGACCCTACCTTGGTCCCCTGCCTTGTGAGTCCTGCATTTCCCCTCACTCGCCCAGTTCTCCCAGACGAAAACCCACTCGCACACACACGCAAGGATAAAACAAGCTTAAATTTAAATTGGAAGAAAAACAAAGCACAGCGCAGCACAAACAAACAAACAAACAAAACAACCGAACAACCCTCTGTGTCTCAGGGAAGGGAGTCCCGGGCAGCCCGGACCACAGCGAAGGGCCACAGACAAGGGGCAACGCCAAGAGGCCAGAGCCCAAAGGCTGGCAGTGGCTGAGCGCGGCCTTGTCAGTCCCTCAGGCCGGTGGCCCCGCCCCCTGCTTCCTCCTGGCCCCTCTGGCCCCTCTGGCCCCGCCCCCTTCCTCTCCGCTGCTCCTGGCCCTGTGCTCCCCTGCCCAGCCCCTGCCTTGCCTTCGCCAGTCCCCTGGCCACGCAGCCTCTCTCCCAGCCTGTGCCTCTGCTGCTCTGCTGCTCTGCCAAGAGGCAAGAGGCCAGAGCCAAAAGGGCTGGCAGTGGCTGAGCGCGGCCTTGTCAGTCCCTCAGGCCGGTGGCCCCACCCCCTGCTTCCTCCTGGCCCCTCTGGCCCCGCCCCTTTCCTCTCCACTGCTCCTGCTCCTCTGCCCAGCCCCTGCCTTGCCCTCGCCAGTCCCCTGGCCACTCAGCCCTCTCCCAGCCTGTGCCTCTGCTGCTCGGCTGCTCTGCCAAGAGGCAAGAGCCAAAAGAGTCGTGTTTCATTGCAAACTTTAACAAAATTTTAGTTTTCTTCTTCTTGATATAGTCTGAATAAAATACACATTTTTAAATTTGGTCAATTATATATTGTATAGATCGATGTGCATTTAAAATGGTCAAGACTATGTCATCAGCATAGCATTTCATTTTGTATTCTTCCCCGTCTACTTTTAAGCCTTTAATTTTTGAGGCTTGTCTTATTTTTATCGCTAACATTTCCAGTACAAGAATAAACACATTTCATCCATACATATTTCAATGCTAGGCTGCGGATTTCCTCTCCCAACAGGTGCTTAGCTTTGTCACTCTGATGATTTACTGCAGAAAGACAGAAACTCAGCCTCCAAATTCCAGCAGGCTCCAGCCAGCCATGGAGGGGTGTTCTACATTTTTTGGTTCATGTTCTACCAAAAATGGCCCTCTGAGTGACTTAGAATCCCTAATAAAACTTTATAAAAGCAACAATAAACAAATGCATTAAAACACAATTAGAAACCATTGTAAAAACAGCATCACTCCTGGCAGATCTGCTTGGAATCGGACCCCTGAGTGAGGCTTGGTTGCTTTTATGTGGCGCAGTTCCATGTATGGACACAAGAGCGGCCTTAAAGCAGCCCTTCCGCAGAACATGCCGAGGGCCAGGCAGGGGTCTGGGCGGAGGGTCTTCTGGCCCACGTACATCTGTTATGGTGTCTCCCCACAGGCCTGCTCCTCTCATGCTGCCCGTTCTGCACCTCCGCTTCTTGCAGGTTCAAGAATTCGAGCTGATCAACGGGAAGTGCAGCACCCCTGAGCTCGGCACGGCGGGCGGCACGAAGTGCAGCAGGGCTCCCTCCTCAGACCCGAGCACGCCTGTCCCGGCCAGCCCGGCTCACGGGCAGGGCCCCCCCACAGCGCAGCAAGGTAGACCCCTCTGCCCCGTGGCTGCGTGGGGCAGCTTCAGATCCCCATGCCACATGCGGGGCCTGCACATTTTCCATCATGGCTCTGTTTTAGACAAAGCAGACCCACCACCCTCGGGGGCGGCCGAGGAGAAGGAGCAAGGGGAGCAGAGGGCCAAGAAGCCCCGGGAAAACCAGGTAAGGGGTGCCCGCAAAGGATTCTGCCTCCGCTCAGACACACCCTCATCCCCTTCACCGAGTCCGGCTGGGGCAGCTTGGCCTCTCAGAGCGCTGGGAGGCTGTGGCCCGGCAGGCTGGCTCCTGCTGTCCCTGCCTGGCCAGGTCCTGTTCTCCCACTCTCTCTCCCTGGCGATCTGATTCCGGCCCAGGCCTTGGGTTCCCTGGAGGCCATGCGTCTTTCCCGCAGCCCCCAGCCATGGGTGGTCTCCTGGCTTCTGTGCAGGTCTTTCCCCTTCTAAAGCACCTTTCCAAAGGTTTCGTGACTAGCAGCAAGAGCTGTAAGCTAAAAGCACCTGGTGATTTTGGCCTCATTTGGCCCCTGGCCTTCGGTCCTGCCCCCTCTGGAATGCCGCCCCCAAGCGCTTCTTGGACATCGAATTCAGCCCTCAAAAGAAATGTGACCTCTCTGCAAGGTTTCGCGTGGCCTCTGGGGTGCTTTCCCAGGAGCCACAGGGATGCATGCATGCTCAATGGTTATACCTGGGCTTAGCGATCTTGGATGTCATTTTCCGGTCAGAAGCTCACCTACCTCACCGTAAGTGATTTGGGGTCTACTGCAGTTGGAGCTGTGCCCATTCAATGGTTCTTCTTGAACGTCACTGCTCAGGGTGAGCCTGGGTGGTCTGGGGTGAGAGTCCAGGCTCTGGTCCCCACTCAGCCATGGAGCTCACTGGTGACTTTGGGCCAGTCAGTCAGACTCAGCCTACCTCACAAGGCTGTTGTTATGGGGATAAAATGGAGCTATGTAAGCTACCTGGGTTCCTTCCAAGAAGAAGAAGAAAAACAGGACATCAATGCAATGTGACAATGACAGTAGTTTAAAAGGGGATGGGAGAGAAACCTATCCCTAATTTGAAGGAGGGAGGCTAAAAGCAGAGGTGCCTGCAGTGATACATCGAGCAGCCCCCTTATACGGCGGAGGCCTATAGTGCGCCTGGGGGAGCTGTGAGATGCATCCAAGGAGCTCCCCATAGGAGCCTCTGTTCTGGGTTTGCCCCTTTCCAGTCAGGCGGCGTATGCAGAGCAAGGAGTTGCCAGAGAGGGGAGGTGCCTCCGGTGCGCCTCCGGATTGCCTTCTCCCCTGCGAGCAGTGCAGCAAGGGAGGTGCAGGGTCTCCAGGGGCCTGCAATGAAGAAGGGTGTCCGTCGCATTCAGGTGCTGCTGAGTGGGGAGAAGACCAGGAGCAGCGACAAGGATGAGCTGCTTGAGAGCCCAGAGAAAGCCGGAGAGGAGGCCACAGACGAGGTCGAGAAGGCCAACCCTCACAAGGAGCAGCTGGCTAAAGGTGCATGGGGAAGCCGCCGTGGCTGGCTGGGGGTGGGGAGGGGCCACGGTGGGAGCCTGGGCGTCCACACAATGGGCCACAGGGTGGGTTGCGTGGGACGGTCTGCCCCACAGAGACAGTCAGTGCAGTGTGGTGCTGGGAGCACTGGCCTGGTGCTGGGGAGGTCCAGAGCCAGAAGCTCGCTGAGGCTGGTCATCTGGTCTCAGGCCTGTTCTGTAGCTGAACGACCCGGGGGCCGGGCAGAGCCGTGCGGAGCCCCTGGAAGGAAAGGGAGGGGTTTGTTTTTAAATCGCCGACTCCGATAGCGAAGGCCCTGTTGCCATCATGAGAACCCACACCTGAGGATGGGTGCATGGCAGGAGTTGCTGGAACTATGGATATGTGAGGAATCCCTCTCCAGGGTGGGAATCCACTGGATCCTCTGGGTTTGGCTCCCCAGACTCCGGTCGACTTTCTTGCAGCTGGGAGGCCAACCCCATGGCAAGTATGCCGAGCATTCGCGCAGTCACCGCCCGCCGGGAAGCAAGCCCACATGCCGCCTGTGTGAGCAGCAGCCCTCCTTGGCACGTGAGACACGTGGCCGTGGTTCACCTGCTGTGGAAGGAGGGTGGCTGTTGCAAAATCAGGCTTCTGTGCGAGGGCTGGGCATGCGAAGACGGGTGGAAAAAGGGTGGAGGGAAAAGTACTGGATTCCGGGGAGGACCGTTGCAAGCCTGGAACCATGGGGACAATTTAGTAGATTAGGTGATATGTAGATGCTCATGCGAAATGCATAATAGAAACACAGGAACAGAGCGAGCCAGAAGGGGTCTCCCGGGCCATCTAGTCTGACCCCCGGCTCCAGCCGGCTCAGCTCACGACATGCCCACCATGTGCGCGTCCAGCCTGGGCATGCACCGTGGCTGAGAGGTGGTAGAAGGGCGGGTGCAATGCAGCTTTGCTGCTGTGGCGGGGAAGGTTGGAACAGCCGCGAGGCAGGAGCTGCTTGGTGTCCCTCATCTCCCTGAGACGTAGGAGATCCGGGTTCCAGCCACTGCTCAGCCTTGAAGCTCCTAGGGTGGCTTTGGGCCAGTCACTGACTCCCAGCTGAGCCTACCTCAGAGGGCTGTTGTGAGGATAAAATGGAGAAGGAGGATTCTGCAAGCTGTCTTGGGTTTCTTGCAAGAGGCAAAAAGGCAGGATGTAAAACTCCACAACACAAGCGAGTTTTAAAAAATGCATCTCTGCCCTCCAGAGCAGCTTGGAGGTGAGCCCTGCTGGGAAGCCAAAGCAGTAACCTGTAGTGCACCTGAGCCATTTGTTTTCTCCAGGCGGGCCACAAGTGACACTTTGCAGGTGAAATGGTTAAATGCTCCATCCCTTCGAAACCTGATCCAATTGCATCCCCTTCCAACCTGTGGCTGATGAAAGTTTTAGGAAGCCCAAATCTCTGGGGGATCTGAATGCAGACTGTCCATATCGTGCATCCTTTGGTCCCAAGGGGCTGAAAAAGCCAAATTCAGCAACAGCAACATGAATGCAGTCTGTAACACGCACATTTCTTCTTCCAAGTGGGCTGTGTCAGTTGTGCGGCTGCTCAGGCCAAGAGCCAGGCCCTGTCTTGTCTCTCAAGACTGAAAAGGCTTCTAAGCTGTTGTCACAGGGCCCATTTTGGCCCAGTTAGCTGATCAGGTGGCAGGCCTTCCTACACAAGCCCCAAGGACTGGTGCAGCTCTCCAGCCTTGGTCAGCAGCACCACTGCAGCCAGCTGTTTGCCCTGGAAGAGCCAAAGGAGCCAGGTCGCTGACCCCCAGCCCTCCTGCGTTGCTCTGGCGCAGTCCGAGAGCCAGACGGGGCCCCTTGGGTGGGCCAGAAAGGGCTCCGTCGAGCTTTTTGTGGGCATCCAGTCAGATGGAAATCACAGCCTGCACCTTGCCAGCTTACTGTCGAAGCTCTGCTTTCTTCCCCTTGTCCCGCAACCCCTCCACCTGCCCAGCTCCTGCAGGTGAAGCCTCCCAGGAGAACGAGGCACCTGTGGAAAGCTCGCCCTCGGATACTGGCCCCTGCACCGGAGGTGGCAAAGAGCCCAGGCCAGGTAAAAGCCACCTCTCCGGGACTGCATGCTTAAGATTCTCCGTCGCCCAAACTGGCCAAACTTCAACCGCAACAGGGTGAGAACCCGCACTTGTGTGCATGCGGCATACTCCCTGCTCCAGTGCCAGCCAGGTATGCTGGACTACAGCTCCCATCCTTCCAACCAGCGTGGCTACACCTGGTGAGCAGCAGGTGGAGGAAGGACGGCTGACGCAAGTTGGCCTAATGCTGCTCAGCTCTAGAGGCAGAGGGAGGGGCAGGCGGGCGACTGGGCGCAGCTGCGCTACTGCAATGAGTGGGCAGGAGTGACTTGAAGCAGCAGGCAAACCCTCCAACGGTGGTGGCAGCTGGGAGCCGTGTGGGAGCCACCCTTGTGCTGCGTGGGGACCCAGTCGAGGAGTCCAGGGCGGGCCGTGCCAGGCTGAGCCCCTTTCCCAGCCGCTTTGGAGTCTTGGGAGTGTTTCCTGGCTTTGTGCAGTTTGTTCCCACTTCAGAGGCTGAAACGCCTCTTCTGAGCAGTAAAAAAATGGCTGTAACGTGCAGGCATCTGGCTCCTCCCACTTTGCCTCCAGCCCCGCCCACTGCTGGGATGCAGTCCCTCAGGCTTCTTCAAAATGGAATGTGGCTCTGGGTTGAGCCGGCTTCTGCATCCCTGGAGGGGCCCATGGCCCCGTAGCAATGGCCCCAGCACGCTGCAGAAGCGCACCTCTGGCTGCAGGTGATCCTGGGCTAGTCTGTGCCCCGATGAATGGGGTGGCAGTGCAGGCAAGCTTCCCCCAGAAGAAACCGGCGAGTCCCGAGGGTGCCGCACGGCTCTGGGGTCCGCCCGGAAGTCGCCTCGCCCCTTGGTCCCTCCAGCTCAGTCCAGAGCCAGCACTGAGCTTCTCCGGGGCTCCAGGCGGAGATCGTTCTCAGCCGGCCTGGAGATGCCAGGGTGAAACTGGGGGCTTCCCAGCAGCAGCCCCCTGCCACACTGTGATCACTGCAGCGGGCTCTCAGAGGCTGGTGGGAGCGAAGTGTTCCTGCCTCGGCCTTCTCCCTCCACTTTCTGAGGCCAAAGGAGCATCCCAGAGTGCTGTAGCTTGGCCTGCCTGCCCTGTAGAAGAATCCAGAGGTGGCTCCTGAAAAGCAACATGGGGGAGGCGTTCCTGGTTCCTCGTCCTTGTGGGTGAGGAGGGGGGCAGCAAAGTGGTGTCCCCGGCGCTCCCCGCGGCCAGACCCTCGCCAGCTGGGGCAGGATCAGGGCAGCGCCTCCCAGGAGGAGCCGGTCCAGTCCCCCTGCCCTGCAGACCCCGCCCCCCAACCAGCTGTTCCCGGTGCTTTTTCCCGCAGAAGACACCAGGGCAGAAGAAATGGAGCCAGCGGAAGTTCAACAGAATGGTGAAAAAGAGGACGAGGAGGATGGGAAAAAGGATGACAGGACCAGCGTCCGGTTTATGTTCAATATTGCAGATGGGGGTTTCACAGGTACAAGCAGCAGTCCCCTGCCTTGGGGTGACCAGGATTGGTTTGGTATTTATTTATTTCTGTTTCTATGCCGCCCCATAACCGGGAGCTTCTCTGGGCGGCTTACAAGGATTGGTTCTTGCGCCCAGACTCTTGAGGGCGTGTCACTCGGCCGCTCCCTGGTTGCATGGACCTCTCCCACCAGATGCGGAAACCCAGTAGAATTCCCCGCCCCAGGCAGCGAGCCCAGAAGAGGGGCCCATGTGGAGATGTGCTCTCTGCACAGGTCGAGTCTGCCACCTTGGCATCAGGAATGAGGAAATTAAATGCCCGCGCTGGGTGCAGGGATGCAGCCCCATTACCCGTCCTGGGAGAGGCAGGTTGGAACGAGGCAAGGCCAGAATGGCAGAGTTAAGCCATGGCATTCGTGCTCGGAAGATGCAGACTTGGCCACCTATGTGGGCACCTTTCATGGGAGCTGGACAAGCCCGTGGAGGAGAAGGCTTGTCCAGTCCGGATGGCTCCCAGTCCGGATGGCTCGCCGTTGCAGTGTGCCGGGTGCCCCAATTGCTGGGGAGCGTGGGTAAGGAGGTGCTAGTGCGCTCCAGCCCTGCTTGTGGGCTTTGGGACAGCCCCTATGGGAAGGGGCACTGAACTCAGCTCTGATCCAGCAATGCCCTTCTTAAGTGCGTATGATGTATGCAGAGGGCATGTCAGATCTCCGTGGGGGCAGGAACTGAGCTGCACTGAGAGCGCTGAAATGGTCCGGCAGACCCCCATGCAAAAGGGGGCAGAATTTCTTTCCACGCAGTGGAGGGCTGATGGGAAAGAGTCGAGGCCCGGGCTTCCTTCGGGCCCACAGGAACCTGCGGTGACTGGATGAAGTCATTTCCCAGACACTCATCCTGTTGCCTTTGCAGCGCACGGGCTGGGCCTGGCCAGGGAATGCGAGGGGCCAGCAAGTGCCGTGCGCACCCAGTCCCCGCTCCCTGGGCACCAGTTGCCCTCGTTCCTTCTCACAGTGCTGGCGCTGCGTGGGCCCCTCCCACGGAAGGCCCTGTGGCTGTGCGGAGCAGGAGCAGAAGCGCTGCTCGGGGCATTCCGCCCCACTCGCCCCTGCCGCACTTCTGGGCTGCTTGCGCAGGGCATGAGTGGCCTTTGCGGGAGCGATCCTCAGGTGGGCTCCACAGCTCTTCTGGCCACACTCACCAAGGTGAGGCTTCCACCATGCCGGGTGGGTACGCGGAACGGAGGCTAGAGTGGGGAAGGGGTCACGGTTGCCCCCATGGCCGCACTCTCCGCACACGTGCACCTGACTAGAATAAAAGCCAAGCAGGGCTGTAGGGCTGGGCAGCCAGTCCGGCACTCGAGGGGGCTCGCTTTGGCTTTCTGTACATCCCCAGAAGATCAGCCCGTTGTCCACGCAGCCCTTCTTCACCCGTTTCCTGACTCTTGCGCAGTCCTGCCCCCATTCAAAGAAAGTTGATGTGCAGCCAGAAAGACATTTAAACCCAAACATGCTGATATTTGTGGATTTTGGCCTCACTTCTTTTGCCCCCCTTTCCCAATATTCTGGAACAGAATTCAGCTCCTGAGCAGAATTCTCCTAAAGTTTTGCAAAGATCACCGAGAAAAGGGTGAGGCGTTACCAAGTTGTCGCTTGCAGTTCTGGTCGCCAAGCGCCGAACAAGCACCGAAGACGTCCCGTGGCTGAGCAGAGTGTTTCTTTGCTTGGCTGTTTAGAGTTGCACACACTGTGGCAGAATGAGGAGAAGGCAGCCATCTCCTCCGGGAAGATTTACGATATCTGGCATCGGAGGCACGATTATTGGCTCCTGGCGGGGATTGTCACGTATCCTTTTCCATGGACAAAGACCGTGGGAGAAGGCAGAAAGGGGGTGGGCAGGGAAGAGATGTGAACGGCTGCGCTGTCACCAAAGCAGTCCTTGCTTTGGTGTCCACCTGGGCAAGTAAGTTCCTCGCTCTCATCAGGATGGAATCAGCCACTGAGGGCTGCAGGGGAGACCAGGCTGTTGTGCAGGAGAAAGCCTGGGCATCTGCTCAAGTGGCATTCTCGCAGGAGGAGGCGTCAACTCCAGACTGGCTGCCACTGGCCCGGCTGCTCTGCCGTCACAGCAGAGCGGGCCTGTTAGAGCGTGGCTGGCTGTGGCTCTCCCCCACCAGAGGTGTTCAGGAGCTGGCGGGCCGGTGCCCTTCCAGGTCTGCTATTCTGTGTCTGTCCTGGCAGCCCCAGCAGTCGGGGATGCTGGGAGCTGCAGGTCAAACCAGCTGGAGGGCACCAAGCTGTGGAAGGCTGCTTCACTGGAGCAGCACTGCGGGGCTCCAGGGGGCACCTTGTCACAGGGGTGGCTCGCCCGGCACTGCGGCCCTTTGAAGGCATGTGCAGCACCCACGGCTGGCTGGCTGGCTGTACATTTCCTCTGTGAGCCATGGTGAAGAATCGGGTCCCACTAAGTCAAGAAGCACTTCCAGGCCTGCTTTGTGCAGAAAGGAGGCTGCTCCTTTCTGCACAGCTCAGCTCAGCAGGCCTGCCTGGAGACGCTGCAGGGCCCCTCCAGGAACACCCCCTGGAGCAGAGCGGCCGGCCACTTGTGGGCAGAATCACTTCCGCTGCATCCGGGTCTCCAAGTGAAGATCAGCGGAGAGATCACATCACTCCAGATGCTGCAAACTGAGCCCTCCTCTGGCTTTACTGAGCTGAAGAGACATTCTCCGGCCGCTGCTTGCAGGCCTGTGGTGAATGCATCCCAGTTGGTCCACATGCATTGAATCTGGGGAAAGGGCCGCAGCTTCTTTCCCTGGAGAGCAGCGTGTGGTCACGTTTCACAAACCAGCATCCATTTGCAACCGCTGCAAAGAGGCCACTGCACCAGCCTGCTCTTGGGCGTAATTAGCAAACCCCGCTTGAGCCAGAGCCCGAGTGACGCTGAAGACCAAAGTAAGCCTGGCGTCAGCTGCGGACCATGCCACTCACGCTGCTCTTCCTCTTCACTTTAGGGGAAGCACGCTGTGGCCCAGGCTGGGCTGAGATGGCTGTGCGGGAGCTAAAAGCCTCACACTCACAGAAACATGGTGAGGGAGAAGGGGCTTCCCTGGCCATCTAGTCTGACCCTGCCTACCATGTGCATGTCCAGCCTATCTTCGCCAAGAGGGCTTCACCTCCCACTCATCCAGTCCCTGCCCCTAAATGGGCCCCATGGACAGCAGTGGAGGGTTTTTTCCTTCTTTTTTAGCCCCCTTGTATGGGGTGGAGCAGGACACATTTAGGGAAATAAAAGCATTGAGAAAGAGAGAGACTACTTGGTGAATTAACTAACCCTTGAAACCCCCCATTTGTTATTAAAATTATTCATGGGGTGGGTGCTCCTGTGTTTCCCTTAACGGATCCCCTTGCCAATCAGTCATGGCTACGCCCGCTGGCAAGATATCCAGAATGATGCTCATTATTCCATCCTGAATGAGCCCTTCAAGTCGGAGATCCACAAGGGGAACTATCTGGAGATGAAGAACAAGTTCCTGGCTCGGCGATTCAAGGTGGGTTTCCGGGAAGGTCCATGTGTGTTGAGCTTTAGAAAAGGAAAGGGTTGGGAAGATCCCCATGGGATGTGTGTGTGGATTCACTGAGTGCATTTCTAGACTGCCCAGTAAGGCGTGTGTCTGGGTGAACTGCACTTAGTTAAAAGACTAACAGGCCATTTAAAATACAGTTAAAATATAAAATGCAACATGAGTATTTCAAAGAATAATATACAGCAAGATGCAAAAACATTAAAGCAGCAGGAATGACTGTCGCAGAGGCTGAGGCAGCTGCAGCAACCTAGAAGTGGGCCTCTGGAGCACCTGGGAGAAAAGAAAGGTGACCATGTTGACGCCAGGCGACCCTCTTTGGGGAGCAGTTGGCCTTAACAGCAAAAACAAGCTTCCAGGTGGAGGGGCAGTCTGGCTGCTAGGAAGGGCTGATGTACGGCGAGACAAGTTAAAGCTGAAGTTTAAGGCACCAAATCTTCTGCAAGATTCATGTGCCCCATTGGTGCACTGTGTCCTCCCTGCTCTCCCCCCACAAGTGTCCCCACGGAATATAGACAGGCATGCTGGATGACCCAGAAGGACGCCCTTCTGTGTGCGAGGGTTACCAGGAACTCACAAGCAGGCAGTGAATGCCAGAGCCCTCACCTTCGTTTCTGCAGAAAACAGAGCTCAGTCTGCCTGGAGTGTCTGCGTGGGGCTTCCAATGACCTTCTTGCTAATAACTTCGGTAGATTCCTGCTCCTCCTGCCCTCCTCCTCCCAGTCTGAGCCACCCTCGCCTTTCAGTCTGTCCAAACCATCCCACAGGCTGCCCTCCCTCCTTGCCCCATTTTCAGTATATCACAGTCACACACTGTTCATTCCGTGCCCTGTGGGGCACGATTCAGCTTGCCAGCCAGCTTTCTGCACTACCAAGGGCTGTGCAGCAGTTCGCACCCAAAAGGTGGCTTCTGAAAGACAAACTCCTCTCCCCTAGGGTGTCCTGGGCGCTGCTGTCCAGCACATCTGGGGGGCACTGGACGGAACTGCTGGTTTACGCTCGTCCAGTTTGCCTGGTGCAGCTCAAGCAGTGCCTGAAGGAGGGCCTGGTGTCCTTTTCGACCGGGTGCAGCTTGCCAGCTCCTGAACAGGTTCTGCACCCAGTGCTTGACTGGGCTGAACCATTCAAATGGCAGGCTGTTTCCCAGAAGCAGCTCAGATTTGCTTTTCCCGTCAAGCATCCATTTCTGCTGAACAGCCAGGTGACCCCTGAGTCTCTAGGGAGAGGCAGATGAGGCCAGACCATGCTGCCAAAAGGGTAGTCAACCAGGATGCAGGGCCCTTTTAGATGGGACCTGGGCACCGGATGGCCTTAGAGGAGTCCAGCCAAAAGGGCCACATCATTCCAGTGGTAAGTCGGTGTTTTAGGGAGAAGCAGCAAAATGCCGCCAGAAGTGAGGGTTCCAAGGCGGGGGAGATCAGCGCGCTCGCCCTGACCCAGTGCCCCGGCGTGCCCCCCATCCTGCCCTGGCTGGGCCCAATCCAGGCCTGGGCCAACCCTGGGGCAGATAGGTCCATTAGTCCATCAGAAGACGGGCAGTGGAAGGGGAGGGGTGCTCCTGCAGGGAGCCCTTCGGGCAGGTCTTCTCGCCCACAACCAGGCACGCCTGCAAACCAGTGACCTTCCTGTCCGTACTTTGCCTGTTCCCAGCGACTGGGACACCAGCCAGCTTACAACATTAAAGCCCATCCAATTAAAACATTTAAAAATATACGAAAGTTAAAAATATAATTAAATCAGTTTATATATTAAAGTTAAACAAATACTCAAATTAACAACTACAGCCAATATAAAGAGTAAAACTAATCCAGTGCAAACTCACTGGTGCAAGCCATTCCCAAATACCTGCTTGAACAAAAAGATTTTTGCCTGCTTTTGGAAACCCTAGGAAGGGAGCTCCAGAGCCTTGGGGCAGCCACTGAGAAGGCCCTGTCTTGTGTCCCCCCCAGCAAGCCTGTGAGGGTAGTGGGACCCAGAGAAGGGCCTCCCTAGAGAGGTTCATATGGAAGAATACAGTCTTTTGGATACCTCGGATCCAAGCCGCAGGCTCAGCCTCAGTCTCTCCCTACCTCAGAAGGCATGGGAGCCTGTTGCCATGGAGCCTGAGCTGTGTGCACCACCCCAAAAGACGGTCTATGCTTCCATGTTCTGGCACTGGCATGAAGGGCAAAGTGCAGCCCACGGGGGTTCCCATTCAGGGGGGTCATCAGGGCCCCCCGTGGCTGAAGGGCCTGAAGCAACTTTTGCACCGCTTCAGGCGGTGCCTGGGACAGTGCCAGAGGTAGGGGGTCCTTGGGGACCGAGGCTCTATGACACCAGGGTCTTCCTCCAAGGAGCTTCCTGGCCCCAGTCTGGGGCGGGCATGGCACCTGCCTTCTCCCTGTTTGCCGCAGTTGCTGGAGCAGGCCTTGGTGATCGAGGAGCAGCTGCGCAGGGCCGCCTACCTCAACATGACCCAGGACCCCGGCCACCCGGCCATGGCCTTGAATGCCCGCCTGGCCGAAGTGGAGTGCCTTGCAGAAAGCCACCAGCATCTCTCCAAAGAATCTCTCGCTGGGAACAAGCCTGCCAACGCCGTCCTTCATAAAGGTGGGTCCCTCCCGAGGGGGGCCGAGAGTCCTCCTCCCCTCCCCTGCGTCTCCCGGTCCACACGGACATTTGCAGTGAGAGGAAAGGCGCTCTTGTGTCAGGAGGCTCCGTGGGACGCCAGCAGAGTCGTCTTCTTTAGGCCCAGGGTGGGGCTTGTGCAGCCCTTCAGAGGTTGCCGGATGGCTACTTGCATCAGCACTAGCCAGCACAGCCAGTGGTCAGGGACGGTAGGAGCTGCAGCCCAATAGCCTCCAGAAGTGTGCATATTCTGCCTTGCCGCATAACCTAGCAAAACCCTTTTATGAAACTGGCTTTTAAATATTTGGAACAAGTACAGCAGAGTCCATGTGCACGTGATTAGCGGGAGAGAGTCTGGAGGGGAGGAGCCTTCAGGGCTGTGGGCCATTCCTGTTTACCTTTGTGCCATTTCTGCCGGGGCCTTTGCTGTCACTGGAACCGCAGGTGCCACTTGCCCTGGAGAGGCCAGGCTTCACAAGGAGCCAAGCCAGAGCAGATTGGCCCCATGGAAAGCTCCAGAGTCGCTTGGGCTGAAGGGCAGGCGGTGCTTGTTCTCTGTTGCTCAGACAGGAGCAGAGCAAGACTGGACCTTCCAGGAATGTATGGGGGCCCTGGGCTGACTGGGCCATCCCCCAGCGGAAGGAGCACCTCTTCAGGGGCCCGGCCTGGCCTGGCCTTGCGCTTCACTGCCAGGCACCAGCTTCTTCGTGGCCCTGTCCTCCGAGGCTGCCGATCTATCTTCTAGTGTGATAAAAAGCAGAGCTGGTGGTGAGAAAAGATGGGAGAGTTGCAAGTGGAAGATGGAAAAACTGGGACATTCCCCTCCATAAAACTCTGTGAACAATTTGGGCAGAGTGACTGTCAGATTAAAAGACTTGCCTGCGAGCAGCCAGGGACACGATCCATGAGTTAATTAGTGGTGAATCTTTGAAACAGACCCGGCTGTAGAATAAAGTGATCACTTGCTGAAAGCTTCATGTAGAACTTCTTGCTTCTCATTAGTGGCAGAATAAATGCTGATGAATGTTAAAGTGTGGAAACTTAATTCTACAGCCTCCATGTCTGGGTGTAAGTCCCAGACACCTCTCTTAGTGCTGCCTTGCTTTCTATCCTTCCTGATCTTTATTTTGTTTTAAAGTTTTTAAAATTGCACCTTAATTTAACTGGTGCTGCCCTCCCATGGCACCTGCACTGAGTTTCAAAAAAGTGGTTTTGGAGGCTCAGGATTCACACCCTGCTTCTGCTTTGGACTCGGATTCTCTCTTGCAAGCTTCGCCCCCCAGGAAAGTTTTGTGACCGGCTATGCCACACTTTATGAATGGGCAGCCATTTTGCGAGCGTGCCCCCCGCTCTCCCTCGCCATGCCCTGGCTTCAGGCTCTGGGGCCACAGCATGTGATGTGCATTTACGTTCCAGTCCTCAACCAGCTGGAGGAGCTGCTAAGCGACATGAAGGCCGACGTGACCCGGTTGCCCTCAATGCTGTCTCGAGTCCCACCTGTTGCTGCCCGCCTGCAGATGTCCGAGAGGAACATCCTGAGCCGCCTGACCAACCGGGGGAGTGAGCCAGCTGTCCAGCAGGTTAGACGTCCTGCCTGACGCAGAGGCTGCCCTGGGCCCCTCGCAGCATGGAGCTTTCCTTGGGAACCCACTCCTGCACCCTGCGCTACTTACTTTTGTGGCTGGCTGAGATACGTAGCAAACCATTCGCTCTTTTAATTCAGCTCTAGTTTAGCTGGCCAGTGTTCAGATTGGCTTGGCTCAAGCCCTCTTCTCCTCTTTGAACCACTCAAAATTTGGATTGTAAGTTCCCTGGGGCAGAGACCTGCATCATACAGTATATCAGTATCAGTATTATTCTATGGAGAACCTAGTGCATTGCTGTCCCTGAAAAAGCGTAATATGTTACCTCCCCCCACCCCGCTGCTGCCTCCAGGCCCCCTTTGGCTCCTCCCAGATCTACAGCAACAACTTCGGGCCAACTTTCTGCAGTGCTGGGGCAGGTGGGATCGTCAACTACAGCCAGATGCCCCTCGGACCTTACGTGACAGGTGGGTGGATGCTTCTGGTGGTGCCCCATCCGTCTTTCTCTCTCTGCTTCTCCTAAGAGGACATATTTTAAAGTGGGGGCCAAGAGCCAAAAACCAAAGGGCATTGGGCAAGCTGGATGTTTTCTCTCTTATTAATAGATATTTAGCCGTTTGCAAGAGTTTCCTCTGCAGTTCTCAGTTGCTACAAGAGGTAAGGTCCTGCTTCTTACTCTCTGATCAACCACGTCCCATCGTTCTGTCTTGGGTGGGGGGGCAGTGCTTGTACCTGGCCACCACTTGCTCTCTGGGTTCTCATCCAGGGGATGCTTCTTGCTCAGCCCTTCGGCTTTGGGAGTTTGCTTAAGAGCGGAGTCACGCCGTTCTCGAGTGCCGGACTGTGGGCCAGGGTGACTGTGTTCCAGGTCCCTCTTGACCATGAAGCTCCTTGGGGGACTTGGGACCAGTCCCTGATGCTCAGCCTCATCTACCTCGCAGGGCCATTGTGAGGATGAACTAGAGAGGAAGAGGGGGCCATGTGAGTCCCTGCAGGAAAAAAGGTGGGATATAATAATGCTAATACTAATCAAACGAATAATTCTAAGCACGCACAGAAACATAGAAATATAGCGATAAAGTGAGTCAAAAAGGGTTTCCTGGGCCATCTAGTCTGACTCCCAGTTCCAACGGGTTCCACTCAGAATATGCCCACCATGTGCATGTCTAGCCTATCCTTGAACTCCCTCACGGATGGGGCCTCAACCACCTCCCATGGAAGCCCGTTCCATACCCTCAGGGTCCTAACCCTCAGGAAGTGCTTCCTGGCATCTGACCTGGTTCCTTGAGCTTTCCCCCACTGGAACGTGTCCTGCCCTCCACTGCAGGGAGGACCGCTCATGGCCCTCCTCTGCATGACACCCCCTCACATACCTCTAAGTCACTGAAAGATCCCCTCGGAGTCTCCCCTTCTTCAGGCTGAAAAGGCCCCGTTCCCTCAATCTCTCCTCATGTGTCATCCCTCCCAGTCTGGCCACCATTCTTGTGACCTCCGCTGAACCGAACCTCTCCTATAAAGTGGAGCCCAGAACTGGATGCAGGACTCCAGTTGCGGGTGCACCAGAGTCGCACAGAGCGGTAGCAACACCTCTCTCGATCTAGAAGCCACACTTCTGGCTATGCAACCAAGGGTGGCGTTCGCCCCCTTGACCACCACATCACACTGCTGGCTCATGTTCAGCCTGCAGCCAACCTGCACCCCAAGGTCCCTTTCACAAGTGCTGCTCTCCAGCCACTTGTCCCCTAACCTGTACTTATGACACCTATTCCTATGCCCCAAGTGCAAGACCGAGCACTTACCCACATTGAACGCCATCCTGTTGTCTCCCATCCACTTCCACAGTCTGTCCAATATCTTTTTGGATCGGGAGTACCTGCTCCCCAGTTGTGGCTGCAGCCCTCACATTGGTATCGTCTGTGAGTTTAGTCAGCAGACTGGTCAACCTCTCTACCAGGTCACTGATAAAAATTGTTTTTTGTAAGCCATCCAGAGACTCTAGTATTAATGGCATATAAAAACTTTAAATAAATAAAAATAAATAAAATAAAATAAAATAAAAAGATTGAACAGAATCAGTCCCAGAACTGAACCCTGGGGACTCTGCTCCTGACTCCTCTGATGATTCCCCACCAATAGTCACCCACTGCCTGCGGTCCGTCAGCCATGCCCTCATCCGTCGGACAGTGCATTGATCTCTCCCAAAGCTCAACTCTTTCTCAACCAGGATATCATGCGGGACCTTGTCAAAGGCCCTGCCAAAATCTTGGTAAACCACACCCACCGTGCCCCCCCCATCTAGCCACCCCAAAACCTTACCTTAGAGCTCCATAAGGTTCATCTGGCAGGACCTGTTTTTGCAAAATTGCAGGGATGTAAGACCCCTTGAGTGGGATGCAGGTGGCGCAGTGGTTTAAACTGCTGTGCTGCTGAGCTGGTTGATCGAAAGGTCGCCGGTTCGGATCCACACACGGGGGTGAGCTCCCGTGCTCTGTCCCAGCTCCTGCCAACCTTGCAGTTCAAAAGCGTACAAATGCAAGTAGATAAAAGGGTACCACTTCGGTGGGCAGGTATCAGCTTTCCGTGCACTTCGGTGTTCAGTCATGCCGGCCATATGTCCATGGAGATTGTCTGTGGACAAATGCTGGCTCCCTCAGCAGGAAACGAAGATGAGCACCGCCCCCAAGGGTCAGGCATGACAGGACTTTAATGTCAAGGGGAGGGGTCTGAAAAGTAAAGCTTTCCCCATGACATTGAAGTCCAGCCATTTGCATGCTTTCGAACTGCAAGGCTGGCAGGAGCTGGGACAGGGGGCACTCACCCCGTCTGCGGATTCGAACGGCCTGCCTTTCCCTCCACCAGCCCAGCAGCTTCACCCCCTGCAGCACCGCATCGCTTTGCATTCATTGCTGCCTGTTTCCCTCCTGAGAGACTCACAGCATCTTGCCTCCCTCTCCCCCCCTCCCGTTCCTCTCAGCAGCAACCCTGTGAGGTAGGCTGAGCTGGTGGCCTAGCCTGACCCAGAGTCACGCAGAGGCTGCCATGGCCGAAGGGGGACTTGAACGCGGGCCTTGGGGCCCCAGTCCTGCACGCAACCACGGCACCACACTGGCTTTCTCCGCTGGACTGCACCTGGAGGGGCCCGTCGTCAGGGATGAGGCTTGCTCTCTGCGCGGCTTTTGCTGTCCGTCAGCGCCGGCGAGTGACAGCGGCACCCCACGCCACGGGGCCTGCTTGAGCCTGGGACACAGTCCCTCAGCCCACACACTTGGGGTTTCTCGCAATCAGTTAATCCCAATGCCTGATCAAGAAGGCACTGCAGCCACCTGGGTGCTAATTAAAATTTCGGAACACGCTGGAGGGGGACGAGGCTCCAGAGAGCAGCGGTGCCCCTGGAGCTGCCTCTCTCCAAGGCGGGGCGAGCCATGGGCATGCCTCGCCTGAACGTGCCCCGTGGCGTGGCCTTCGCGTGCATGCGGCTCGCCTGCACCTGGGTTCCCATGGGGCCCCCCGGGGCTCCTGGCCACTGGCTTCCCTCTGCCGTGCAGGAAAAGGCCTGCAGCGAGAAAGCCCAGCGTGGCTTGCAGAGGCGGCCGGAGGGCGTCCTGTCTTCCTTCTCCACTCCATTCTTCCTCCAGGGCCTCTGAGGGCCGCCATCCCGGCCCCGCTGGCCAGTCACCCTCTCAGCAGCCCTCCAAGGGAGGCCGCCTCGAGGGCTTTGCTGCTGGGAGAGGCGCGGCACCCAGTGCCTCCAGGCATCGCCAGGCGCCTCGTGCTCACCGTGCGGACAGGACACAAGGGCAGGGGGTCTGGCGTGTGGCAAGAGGGCAGCCCTCCAGATATATTGGACTACAACTCCCACTGGCCTCAGGCCTCATGGTGAACGAGAAGCGGGTGTGGAAATTTCCGCCCAGATCATCCCACAAGCAGCTGGTTCCCCAGCCGGACTTTTGAGGCTCTCTGCACTGAGGGGGGCGTTTTGGGTGGGGGCCGAAGTGCTGGAGGGGCTGCTTGGCTCTGCATGCTTGTGGCCCTTGCTTGAATCCCGGACTCCGGGCGGGATGGCCGAGCTGGACTGACCGGGCAAGAGCGCGAGCAAAGCTCCACCTGCAGGAGTGTGATGACCCGTTTCCTCTGCTCATGGGGGGGGGGCGGGGGGGGGGCATGCAGGAACTGGGACCAACAGAAGGAGCAATGCAGTCCGGAGGAGGGGAAACTCTTTCCAGCTCCATTTCGCGCAGCGGGAGGCGGGCAGGGCTGGTCCTCAGGGTGCCAGGCTGGGCATGCAGGGTCCCCTTCGTGGGGGATTCCGTGGGGGTGGGGAACTGTCCTGGCAAAATTTTAATCACCCCACCGGGCTGTTCCCCTTGCTTTTGCACTGCATCCCCTGCCAGCCCCAGCCAGCGTGGCCACTTTGGGCGTCTCTAGGAGGTCCTGCAGAAGGAGCTGGCAGCTCAACACTGTGGGTGGGTGAATTGGAAACACGCAAACATACAAATCTGTCTCGCCTCATTCCCCGTCCCCTGCAAACCGGCCACCAACCTTGTGGCCCCACGCTGCACTGACTCCAACCTGGCTATATCCTTCCTGTAACGAGGGGCCCAAAACTGAGCACAATACTCCAGTTGCAGGTGCACCAGAGTCATACAGAGTGGCAGTAATAACTCTCTCAATCTAGAAGCCACGCTTCTTGCTATGCAACCAAGGGTGGCGTTCGCCCTCTTGGCCACCGCATCACATTGTCGACTCATGTTCAGCCTGCAGTCAACCAGCACCCCGAGGTCCCTTTCACAAGCGCTGCTCTCCAGCCACTTGTCCCCAAACCTGTACTTATGACACCCATTCCTATGCCCCAAGTGCAAGACCTTGCACTTATCCACGCTGAACGCCATCCTGTTGTCTCCTGCCCACTTCCATAGTTTGTCCAGATCCTTTTGGATCTGGAGTACTGCTCCTCAGTTGTGGCCACTGCTCCAGTTTTAGTATCATCTGCGAATTTGATCAGCAGACTGTTCACCCCTTCTTCCATGTCATTGATGAAAAGATTAAACAGGATCGGCCCCAGGACAGAGCCCTGGGGGACCCCGCTTGTCACTGGCCACCATCCTAATGATTCCCCACTAATGGTTACCTGCTGCTTTCGGTCAGTCAACCATGTCCTAATCCATCGGACAGTGCTTTGGTGTATCCCAAAACTCCTCAGTTTCTCCACCAGGATATCATGGGCACTTTGTCAAAGGCCTTGCTGAAATCCAGGTATACCACATCCACTGCATCCCCTCCATCTAGCCATCTCGAAACCTTGTCATAGAATTCCACAAGGTTTGTCTGGCAGGACCTGTTTTTGCGGAAGCCGTGTTGTGTGGCCGCCAGCCTCCCTTCCCTATCCAGCATCACTAGATCTCTCACTGTTATGACCTTTTCCATTGTTTTTCCTACAATGGATGTAAGACTAACAGGTCTGTAATTCCCCCTGTCCCTTCTACTACCCTTTTTGAAAATTGGGACCACTGATGCCACCCTCCAGTCCTCTGGAACTTCACCTGTTCTCCACGAGGCCTCAAAAATGGAGGCCAGCGGGCATGAGAGAACCCCTGCCAACTCTCTAAGTACTCTCGGGTGTAACCCGTCAGGGCTTGGCACCTTTGCAATATGCAATGCCCTGAGGAGCCCCTCGACTTCTAGGGGGGTGACTCTAATCTGTGCCCCTAAGTCCCCGGCCTCATCTAATCTCCTATGCAGATATCCTCATTCTTCTTTGGGGAGAACACAGAGGCAAAATAGTCATTTAGTATCTGTGCCTGTTCCCTCATATCAGTCACTGGATCTCCTTCCTCCTTATTCAGCGGTCCCACCACTTGTCTCCCCTTCCTCTTCCTAGTTACATGCTGAAAGAAGCCCTTTTTGTTGCTCTTGATGTTCTTGGCAAGTCTCAGCTCGTAATCACCCTTAGCCCTGCGAAGAATCCTTCTGCAACAGGCCTCCTCCTCCCTTTTGTCTATTTCCCCCAGTGCCCATTTCCTACGGAGGTTCCTCTTTCATCTAATCCCTCTAACCACCTCCTTTTGCATCCATGGCGGCACTCTCCTCCGCCTCCCCACCTTACTGACTAGAGGTATCGTCAAGGCTTGCACCTCCAAAGCCTCCCTTTTGAGTGCCATCCACCCCTCCTCAACTCCCCTGCCTTCCAGTAACACATCGCAGGAATTCAAAGGTGCGTGTTTGATGCACTTTGAGCTGAAGTCCTGCCTTTGCTTTCTCATGCATCCAAAGCATGCCTGTGATGCTCTCAGGCTGTGGTGATTGCTCAGATGCTTTTCGTTCCTGCAACAGCCCCCATATTGAAGCTGATGCAATTGTTTATCACATGGGGGGGGGGTCCCTCCTTCATTAGAACCCGTGAGCTGCTCAGGCAGGGCGCTGCTCCTCAGCAGTAATCAGGTGAGGCCGTGGATTCGGGCAGGTGGGGATGCATCCAGGGGGACCCCCCGCCCCCGCTGGGGAGGTAGCTCTGCAGCTCCAGGCACTCTTGGAGGAAACTGATACTTGATGTCCACTTCAATCTGGCTTCAGGCCTGCTTTTGGTACAGAAACTGCCTCGGTCGCCCTGGGGGATGCCCTTTTGGGGAGAAAGATGGGGAGTGCCTCCCTGCAGGTCCTCTTGAACCTCTCATCGACCGTGGCATCTTCCGGATGGGCAGGCTGGGTTGGTGCTGAAGGCAGTGCTCTGCGGGGGTTCCTCCCCCACTTGGCCAGTCAGTTGCAGCAGGTGGCACATGCTCTGCAGCATGGCTTTTACAGGTTCTGTGCGATCCCTCATGCTGTTTAACTTCTACGTGAAATGTGCTGACAGAGGTGATCCGGAGGTTTGAGCTGAAGTGTGTGGGTGGCACTCAGCTCTGCTTCCCTCTTTCGCCCAATCCAGGAGTGCTGGTAACGGTTCTGAACCCGTATCTGAGTGAGGTGATGGCCTGGAGGGGGGCTAATCTACTGCAGCTTAATGCAGGCAAGACACAGGTGCTCTTGGTAGGTGGGTCCTTTGTCCAGATAGGTGATAGCCACCCTGTCCTGGTCAGGGCCGCGCTCCCCTTCAAGGACACAGTGTGGAACACAGTGGTGCTTCTGTGTACAGCGCTGTCTCTGGGCTCCAGGTGAGCTTCATTTACCCCTTTTTCATCTGTGGTTGATTTATCAACTTCGTGCCCATCTAGACAAGCAGACCTTGGTGACAGGGATTCACCCCGGTAACCTCTACTTGGGACTGTTGTGACACGCGTCACGTGGGGCTGCCCTTAAGAACCATCCGGAAACTGCAGTTGGCCTCAAATGGAGCCGCGCACCCCCTAACTGGAACCGCAGTGCACCAGCGCATAACCCCAGCCTTGTGCCATCGGCGCTGGATGCCGATTGAAGACTGGGCCTGCTCAAGGCACTGGCTTTGTCACCTGAAGCCACAAATGGTTTGGGACTTGGCGACCAGATGGCATGCTGCCAGCCACACACGCCTGCCTGGGCATTAAGGGCTCCCTCAGAGCTCCTTCTCCAGGAGCCACCTCTAAAGGTCGTAAGGAAGGCAACTACCAGGGGAAGGGCCTTTTCGGCTGTGGCCTCCCACTTGTGGAACCAGCTCCACAGAGAGGTGGTCTGGTGCCGACACTATACTTTTCAGTGCCAGGCCAAGACCGTTTTATGTTCTCGATATTTTGATTGTTGAAATTTTATTATTTTATAATATGTTTCATATATTAGTTGACACTGTGGGTTATTTATTTATTATAATGTTATTGGTTTTATATTCTGTTCTTTGTTGTTATTGGTTATATTTTTATTATTATTGTAATTTTGCTCTTGCTATTATTGTTGGTTATGATGGTTGGTTGTTTATATTGTAAATGTTGTAAACTGTCCAGACAGCCAATTGGCTCAGGGATTCATATAAAAACGGTTTAAATAAACACATGAATAAATGAGAGGTGGCAAAGGATTGGAAAACTCTGCCGAGGAGGGTGAGAGGTTGTGAGGAGGGCAGGGAAGGAGCTGGAGGGTCTCCTTCCACCCATGGGGGGCAGGACCTGGATCCAGCCCAAGTGAGAGAGCTGGACTCCAGCTGAGGATAGAAGCCTGTCTGGCCAGGAGACGTGACCCCTTGGTTTTGTTCTTTCAGCGACACCCAGTGGGTCACCCCCGAGCCACCCCGATATGAAAGGACCTGAGTCCTTGAAGGTTGGCACATCCTTCGACAGCAAAGGACAGCAACATGATATCATCTGCATCGAAGATTAGAGGAATCTCACCCTGGACGCCCTGGCTTGCCATGCTTGTAGCTCAAAGCGTTCTTCAGAAAGGGGACCAAACTCACCCTGGCTGCTTCACAGCCTTCCTTGAGGGGGCCGCGTTTCGCTTCCTTGTACCTTGGCTTTTCTTTTGCACTTTCTTATCGAAGACTTGAAGAGTCTGTGGGCTGGATCACCCAAGAAGTCCCTGTTTTCAGCTGGCCAGCAGCCCCCTCCCATCTGCAGCTGGATGGGGTGAGCTGGGAGTGGGGCCACGCTGGTTGAAGCGCCGTGCCCCCTGCCCTCCCACCTGGGATGCAGCCATTTGCCCCATCTGCATGTGGGGAAGGGACACCCCCTGGCTGCAGGGGCTGGAGGCTCAGGCCTCGATCTGCACATGTGCATGGCGCCGGAGAATCTCCCCAAAATGGCTGGCTGAGCTGAGCTCAGGAAAAGGTTGCAGCTGCATCCAAGAGGCTGAGGACATGTGGGGTTCAAGGGACACCCCTCAAGGCCCCCTGATTTCCGCGAGAGTCGCTTGCTTCATCCTTTCTTCCACTGGAGTCAGTGGCTTCCGACGTGCTCAGTTCAGTCTGGGGTTTCCGCGCAGGCTTTAAGGAGGGTGCAAAACAACCCCCAGGCTGGGTCCATGTATGGGTGTCTGTTGGTTGATTCCTGTGTTATGATTTTGTGATTGCTCTGTTTGTGGAGGCCACAATCGCAATGGCAAGCAAGGTGGGCGAATCCCTCTGTTCAAATCACTCACTGCCTCCCATTTTTCCAGATGTGAGTTCAGTTCAGCCCAAGCTCGGGTAATTTTTTTTTAAAGTTTACATGAAAATTCATCATGCATTTCTGTGTGCTAAAACATGCCTTTCCGTGTGTTTTAGACTCATGAACACCTTCTTGCAAAGACGGGCCTGATATAACCCATTTTCACATGTTATTTTCATGCATATATATATATAGTTTGGCTGCACTTTCCCCCAATACACTGATTTTTGTACCATTTTTTATTGGAAAATTCCATTGCAAAATTTGGAGAAGTGCAAATTTTGAAAGATAACTGAGTTTCCATTTGCTTGTTGGTTCAAAAGTGAGATTTGAGGTGAGATCACATCGCAATGCAAACCGGATGCTTTTCTCCCTCGTCCCTGCCCACAGCAGTCGTTCGTGCAGCCAGTTCCCACCAGGCAAGGGTGCAGGTGGGCCCGGGGCCAAGGGCATCAGAATCAGGCCTTGAGGGCTCCAGGGGTGTGTTTGGATTGGGCAGTGCTGCGGCTGCTGACTTTCAGCCCGACTCCCTCCCAAGCAAAAACCTGTTTTGGGGGTAAAGAAAAGGGAGGGGGAGCCAATGAATTCACAAGAGCAGACACTTGAAAGCATCCGTCTAGAGCTGTGAATCAGATTTTGCTCTGTCTTCGCCACCCAGCTAGGCCCTGTCCTGGGGCTGGATCTGTTGACTTGCCTTCCATGAGAGGAATGGTCCCTCTGTAAGCAGAACAGCTCTGCTGGTGGAAGGGTGTCCCTCTGACTTTAGGGCTCCCCCAGCACCAGTCACCCCCTCAGCAGGGTCTCCTGCCTTGTTCAGGGGGCTGGAACAGCTGTGCTGCGGGGGGGGGGGGCCTCAGTAGGGTTCCAGATGCCCTGCGCCTACCCCCAGGTCCAGCCAAAGGGAAGGCCCTCCAATCTGAAGCTTGCTCTTTCACCCTGCAGCCAGCACCAGCAAGAGGGAGGCAAGGACTGTGGGAGAAGGTGGAGCAGCCCGGAATGTCTTCCCATGGACATGTCATTTCTAGCCCCCCCCCAACAATCTGGAGGTGCTGTTTCAACTGCTTCCCGTCCGTCTGGCCCCCCCCCCCCCCCCCCCAGATGATGCTGCCATCCAGAACATGCAACCTGTGGAATCTCCCTCTCTTTGCCTGGCTTCCTGGGGAACCCACAAGGGCTGCCCTGCGGGGAGCAACGCCAACCAGGCAAGCGTGCTGGGCAGGGGCTGCTGCTCCCCAGGATGGGCTGTGGCTGCACTAAGACGCCTCGGCCTGGAGGGACGCCCCTGGGGCAGAGCGGGGCAGCACCTTCTCCTCCTCATCCTCACCAGGGCAGGTGCCAGTTACACCTCCAGTTCTGCCCACCAGCCAAACAGCAGATAGAACAGTGGCGCAAGGGGCTGGTTCATCAATTATATACTGTGGTTAACGAATTAAGAGAACACTGCTTTGGGGGACTTTCTTGGTGTCCTTGCTTGTGGGGGCCTGCAAACGGGCAGGTTCTGTCAGGGAACTGGCAGCAACGCCCCACAGCCGCCCTGCTTCCCTCTGCCTTCCCGCTGCAGTGGCACCCTTCTGGCGATGCCTCACGCGGTGTGTTTACGAGGCCCTGGACTGGTGGCCATCCGTGCCCCATATGATCAGGCAGAAGAATGTGTCCCAAAGAGGGCAGATTTCCGTGGGGAGGACCTTCAGGCGAGTGTCTGATTCTGGACGAGAGCCAGGAGGCTGCAGTGGTGGCTACAGAGGCGCTGATGGGACACGGGCCAACGCTGCATGGTCGTCTCTGCCCTCCATCATTTGTGCCACCCTGGCAGGTGGGACAAGCGAAGCAACACTTTTCTTCTCAGAGGCCTTTCTGGTGTGTTTATAACCCCCCAAACTGTGTTTCTGCCCCCACTGCCCCCTTTGTATTCTGTGATTGGTGGAAAGAATTTTGGTTTCCTATTTTAAATTTTGTGTTTTAATAAATCATTTTGAAAAGAACTTGCGCTAATGGGTAGCTGCTGCCTCTCCTGCTTCTCCGAGGCTTCTAGTGTCTGGAAGGCAGCAAGCCGCAGGCTGTGGAGGGCGCCAAGCCAGGCCTTGCCCGGGTGGCCTCCGAGCCACCCAGCGGCATCCGGTGAGCCATGCTTTGGGGCCGCCACAGGCAGCTCCAGGCCAGCGGTCACGTTTTGCAGTTGCACCTGCAGGTGGGTGCCTGCCACCCGGTCGGGCCTCCAGGCCAGTGGACGGGGTGAGGCTGTGCCAGGAGCAGGCGTTCCCAGGTAGGGCTCAGGGAGACGGTGCCTGCAGCTCGGCTGCAGCACAGGAAGATGCTTTCCCTGGGGATCCCGGGATGTGCGTGCCCCCCATCCAGGCTGTGCTCGGTGCCTGCTGCTGCCCGGGTGTGATTTGGCCAGCTGAATCGGGGCCGAAGCCCAGGCCTTGGGCCAAGAGCCATTCAGGGAGGCACGCGTGGCACCCAGCCTCTGTGTGGACTGTACTGCCCCAGGTCACAGGAGAGGTGCCCTTCTCCTCACATAGCCCACAGTCTAGTCTTTGATGTGTGGAGAGCATGCGCTGACACAACCCTTCCTCCAAAGTGGGACAGTCCTGCATCAGCTTTGCCCTCTTATCTGAGGCTTTGGGTGATCTCCATACACAAGGGGGGGACCAAATGGGCCCAGGAGATGGTTTGTACCCAGCAGTTGCCAAGGCAGGAGTGACATGATTTGAGAAGCCCCCCAAAGGGAACACTGAGGCCACTTGTGTGGTGCAAGATTGGGGCCCTGTGGGTGTCTTTCCAGCTTCTATCCCCAGGTTCACCAGCCGCCTTTGCTGGCTGGCCAGGTTCACAGTGGCTCCAGCTTGCCTGGTTGTTGGAGTCATGGGAGGCATGCTCCAGGCGGTGCAAATGCCCCCCGCCCTGCCCTGCTGGAGCCTCCTTGGCGGCAGCCTTTGCTGTCGCCGCTCCATTTCTCTGCAACCCTTTGATGCTGGACAGGCACACACACTGTGGAGATTTTTTTCAATTTCTGGAAGCCTTCCTAAACAAACCAGCTATCGTTTTATTGATTCTGTTTTGAACAACTGGCTGCATTATATCCAGTTCGTCTTGTTCACTGGTCCAGAATCTCCACGGAACCCAATGCGTATGAGAATAAAATAGGACTAAAAGAATTAGTTGCTGTCCACATATTCTTGGACGCCCATCAGCCCTGACAAACATGGCGAGTGGTCAGGAATGATGGGCGGTGGTGCCCATCCCTGCCACCACACCAGTCTGGGGAATGCACCAAAGAGCCCTGGGTGGAGAGGCAGCCCACAGGCACGTGCAGAGGGGCAAGCCCTGTCCTGCCTGGGATTCCCAGGCATCGCTCCTGCCTGCCCCCATCCTCTCCGTGACAGAATCCGAACTGTGAAAACGCCATTCCCTTGCACTGACACATCTTACTGCTAATGCACACTTGCGCCTAAGACTAGAAAGGGTCCACAAAAAAATGGTCCACGGGCTGGCTGCACAGAAACGCTGCCTCACCTGAATCTTCAACGGAGCTCCGCAACACGGTGAGCAGCACGGCGTGGGACACAAACCCTCTCCTGGTCAGGCGGCAGCCTTCAGGTGTCGGTTCATGATGCCTTGCCAACTTCTTAAGCAAAAAATTCTCTTAAGTGGCTGCTTTGCCAACTGCAGGAAGAGCCACGTGTTCTGTGCTGCCTGGGAATCTTAAACAGCAGCAAGCAGTTGTTTCTCTGCAAGCTTGGAAGGGACGAACCTGTGCCCGATGGGTTTAGAGAGCTACAAAAAATGGGCTCTTTCCCTCAGGTCTTGCAGTCTGAGTCTAGGCTTGGAGCAACAGGTGCTCAGTTCCACTGCTGCCTTCTTTCCCTACCTGCACATAGCAGAAGTTTGTGGCCACTGGGCAGGATGCGATTATGGAGGCTTCCCTCCAGCTGGGGCCCTCCAGGCAACTTTCTCAATTTCATAGCCAGCAAATGGGCAGCAGGGGGTGAGGAGAGGGGAAGGGGCTGGTCTGCTGGGTAAGACCACTTCCCCGACACTTGCAGATTCCACTGGCTTCCTCTTGACTTTCAGATTCAACTGGATGGCCTCTCCTTTGTGTCTTTGTCATTCTTCCTGTCCCTTTCTCTACCACATCTTAGCTGCACCTCAGTTTTACTCTGTTTTCTTCTCTTCCCTGCCAACTGCCATTCTGCTTTTCTGTCTCAATTCTACTGACTCCACAGGCAGTCTCCA